AATGTTTTTTATGCGATATTAATGGATACTAATCCATGGGATTTTCAATGGGATGTTGATGGATATTAGTGGGATATTTATGTGATTTAATGGAATATTGACAGATATTTGGGTTTGTTGAGAAGGGGGTGCCCCCAATTCCAGTTGATTAGAAGTTTTCTGTTCCCACATATCTTTACTAATGGGACGGCGGCAGCCCGCGTCTCAACGGCCAATCAGGCAGACAGCGAGCATCTCGGATGCGACCAGCCGAGTTGGAGATGTAACTGCGTAATTTGTGGGATTTGGCACAAATGGGAAAGTTACCAAAAACTATCAAAAACTGCAGATTTGGTGAAAACACAGAATTCCCAAGGGTTTTCCTGGTTTCATGGTTTCGTGCTCAACATTGCATCCTGCGGTGTTCTGTTTCATGAGTTTTCGCTGAGGAGTGTAGATGGTCAAACACTGCAGGGAGACGAGGACACCATTTGGAAACTGTTGAATGCTGCTAGTGACGCAAGTGCCGACCTCGCTCCCATCCTCGACAAAATTCGCACGGATGATGTGGTCGTTGATGGCAGTAAAACCATGAGTGGCGACGGCACTTGGGTCGGCGAAGCCGAAAACAAGGTGGGGACATGGGAAACCCAATCCCATAAACCTACCATTTAGGATCATTTAGGGATGGTTTATAGGACCCATAAGAATATGGTGATGACTTGGGGGATGGTTTATTGTTGGGTTGACCACATTACCAGTTTTTTCGGGGTATGACCATCCACTTACCGACTACTGTAATTTTCAGTTCAGAAGGGTAACTACCAGGATTTTGACCAGCCAGGTGACATCAGTGGACATGGCGAAAGTTCAAGCGCCCACGCGGATACGGGAGAAGGCCTACCATCCGACCAAAGGTGGCAATGCAAACCATTCGGGCTATTCTCCATTCGTGGGAGTCGCTGATCTTTCATTTCCTTCATGGACCTTTGTTCATCCGGAGGCAGGGCAATGGATTCGCTCACAACATGCTTTCCGTAGCGCCAAAGCGTCAGCATGGTGACCTGAAGGGTACCCCCAAATCCAATTGTTGTTCATCCTTTTTCCCCATTAGAATTACTATGGGTTTACCCCATTTTCAGACAAACCCAAATATCACATCAAGTTGGTTAGTTATATAAGTTATATCCCATTCATAACTCTATTGCTATCCCATTGAATTCTCATTACATTTAGATAGTTTGGATGGCCATTTTTGTTGGTTCAATGCCAACGGTTATATATATATAATATATATATATGCATATATATATATATACATGTATATATACATTATATATATATACATATATATATATATACATATGTACAAATCCGCCAATTTGGGATGACTTTGGAGCAGGTGGCATTGAGTTCCATCATCCATTTAAGTTCGGTATCCCATTATCCCATTAAATACCCATGTATATCCCCAACCAATATTGATAGTGTATAGAGTAGCACCAGACAAGCTGCTGCAGGTTCAGCCCAAAGGCTTCCGCACAGCAGCACGCAGAGTTTTTCATGGCTCGCCACTGATAGACGCAGATTCCAACGTGCAACCTGCTTGAAGTTTAGAGGTTCCAGTTAGGCCAGTTGGGTATGGGTCAAAGTTCAGCAATCCCCTGGGACGTCCTGGGGACCATTTTGTGAGGTACATCCAAAGCACCTCGGGCTGGATCTTCTCCCTGACCAAGGTGGGAAACGGCTTTTTTCTCGACCAACGCGAAGGGTGGATGGTTGCTTAGGTCAAACATGAAGATATGACTAATACGATCCAAAATCTATCAAGTTCATATAATTGATGGTTTGCACATGTTTGCACATGTTTGCACATATGTTCAAGTTTCTTTTTTAAGATTCCCATTTCACGGATGGGGAACACCTTCCGCAGGACGGAACACTCCGATGGTCATTCGATCTCAATTCTGAAGACCCACAAAATCCAAGTCACTGGGCGGGACAGCAACGATGGGGACATGGTGGTTTCCTAATGGTTGGGATGGTTGGGGGTACCTCAAAAATGGATGGTTTATAATGGTGGGAATTGAAATGGATGATTTGGAGCTACCCCCCCATTTTAGGAAACCTCCACATACACGCACTGCGGTATAAATGGGGTTATAAACTGCTGGCATCTGCTGGTAGCTGGCAGTAAGAACAACAGTCTTGCGGTATTTTCTGGACTTTAGTACTGGGGGTGCATCTTAGTTAGAATTTGAGTTATGATAAGTTATGACCAACATATAACTGGGGTATAACCCTTTGTATAACTGGCTTACAATATATGATATATGGTTATCAATCACTTACTAACTGGGATGCACATCCAAGTAGGCAAAGACTTTTGCTGCTTCAGGTAATATGGCCTTGTTAGATGGCATAGCCTTCGTCTGTATCTTGGTGAAACTCAGCGCCTGCCATGTTGCGGTGACAACCTTGACTCGCAGATCGTCAAAACCCACGGATTGAACGTCGTGAGCCGTTTGTGGGTCCATCATTGTCACCCTATTTTTGACCACCAGTGTGTTGGGTCAGAATCACTGATGTTTGCGAGTCATGGGTCCACCATTCTGCGACATTTTGCGAACTTTGCCGATCCCAATTGTTGATCCCAATCGTTTGACAGAATCCCAACATTGTTCATGGTAAATGTTCATTTGTCATCACATCTGGTCTAAAATCCATTTTTCATCCATGTGAAATCATGAATTTCACGTGAAAAAGTCCCCGTTTTTTTCACCAGAAATATCCCAAAGGGGATTGGCACCAAAAGGTACCGAAGATGGGGTGGCCTGGGCCATTGATCTGGTCGCAGGCCTTGAGAGGCGAGATCTACGTAGATGACATCAATGGGGGTCATCAAATCTACTGTTGGTTTCATCTAACCATTTTAATGGGAAATACCATTAGTTTAATGGAATTTTAATGGGAAATACCATTAGTTTAATGGAATTTTAATGGGCTATACTGAGATCTACCCTCTGGTTATGACTAACAGTTCGCCATGGGATTTCGATGGCCCTAATCGAAATAGATGGTTGACCTAGCTATAAAATGGTGGATCTTTCCATGGCGAACTGTTAAAGAACCAGATGGTATATTCTGGGTAAATTATAGTGACCTCACTCCGACCTCACTAGAATCATGGTTAGTAACTAGGGGAATTATCCCCATGGTGGGCCCAAGATTTCAGGTTAGTAAATTATTATAATTTTCCCAGATCAAATAGATGATTATAGTAAGCATCAAAATCCATCTATTGATGGGAAAATGTCACCATCTGTTGATTGGAAATTTTCACCATCTATGATCATTTAAAATGATGGCTTTATACCCCATTGATGGGAAGATTAGTATTATATAATATTATATAGTATTATAATCAATGGGATGATGATATTAACCATTTGGGAAATTAACCATCTATTTCATGCGGAAATAGTTGGACCACGGCCTCTAGATGGCCGTGGTGTTTTGTTGACGTTGGGGGGTGGGGTGGGGCATGTATTAACGTTCATGCGAACTTGCAGATGAAGGACATGCTACGCTGTGGCTGCCGGCAGGTGCATGTATTCATGGGTGGTGGTGGCGTTCCAGCTTAGAAAGTCCAGATCCTCAAAGGTTCTTGGAAGAACTGGAAGCGCTGCTCTGACCAAAAGACATCTAAAAACATGTGAGGACGAAGTAGTTTCAGGGCCGGCAAAAAACCAAAAAATGCTAGTTTAGTGCAGGCGAAATACTTGTTTTCGTGAAACTGCTTGTGAATAAGGGGTTAACGACCTTAAAAATAACACCACACAAACGCCTATTAGCACGAGCACATCAAACATGATCATAACATCCCATTAATCACAAAAACAAACGGCCATCTAAAGGCCGTGCTCCAAATAGTTACTATTTAAATTTAGCTGTGAAAATGATGGTACTATAAGAGTATGGGAAATCATCTTGGGGGAAATTATGATTAAATTATATATCTTAGTGACTATAAGTTTTCACAACTATAGTGTATTCGATCATGAAATTTGGGGGCCGATTTTCAGACAAACCAATGGGGAACCCATTTAAAACAACCTGAGAGACCCCAGTTGTAACACGGCTGAAAAAAACTCGGTGTAGTGTAGTGGTTAGAAGTCTGAATTATTTGATTCATAATTGTGAATTATTACTGGTTGATCTATACTTTGATCCATATAGCAATGGAAACCTCTAATTTTCCACACGATTTGAGGATGCACATCCATCTACCAGCTATTTTGATGTGAACAGAAGTGTACTAGGGTTTTGGCTCTCATAGCTGAATTGGATCTGACGAACATGCATATTTTTTTTTCTGGTTGCTAAATTATCACTATATAATAAAATATTGCAATCAACAAAGGGGGGTTTACACGATCGATCAACACATGGCACCCAAAATAATACCAAACCTTGGCTTCACTGGGGGTATTGAATACTATGTAGGGGGAAGTTGACCAACAATAGTTGGGGATTTTACAAACGTCAAATGGGAATTGAACTAGCCACAAAATGGGCATTTGAGGATTGAGACCTGGAATCAATGGGCAGTTTATCTTGGGGATTTGTCCAAAATGTGTCAGTCGTATGGGTATGGGGACATAAGACTGAATTGGGGGGTTGTAATCATGTAAATAAGCCACTTTTCAAAAGGATTTCAAAGCCGTAGATGGGAAACATTTGTTTCAAGAGCCGGTACCCTGAAACGAACACGGCCACCATAAAATTCGGGTTCGAGCACGGGTTTGGCCAGGTTTCACAAGAAAGAGATGTTAAACCCAAAATTTGAAGAATGTATACTGTATAATTGCTCAAAGTGAAACGGGGAAATTGGAACCATACAACTATTGTTCAGTATTGTAAGGCAGGGATGGTGGACTTGTCACTCCTTGCTACTAATCCCCAAGTAGCAGGTCTCCCAAGCACTTGCACTTGGAAGGTGGAGGAAAAAGATCGCGACCCACTGCTCGACCGATCCGCCCCTTGGCCGTGAGCACTTTTCATGTCATCAACCTGCCTCACTATCACTCTTGGGGTCAAGAGTTGAGATGCAGAGAACCACAAGCTTTCGACACATTATGAAATATTGAACGGTCCGGTGTGATGCATCCATTTTTCCGGGGGGTTCCCAATTGCGTACCCATCCCCATCTTCAGTTCATTTCCTTGATTCGTTCAGGTTCTCGATTACAACAGCTAGTGGTAGCACGGCTGCATCGGAATGGCTGGCGACAGAGAAAGCCGAAGGTGGCGTTAAAAGGGGTGATGCCAAATGGTTTGTTCAACGGGGACTTTGCCCTATTGGAACCGTCTTAGCATCCAAGATGGGGATTGTGACCACGAACTGGGGAATTAACTCAGCAAACTGGGGATTCCAATAAGCAACACGGGATTTCACCAGATGATGGCATGATGTTCTGCCTCTGGTAATCTAACCTGGCACTGGGTCCTCCATGCCGTGCTTGATATTGTTGATGCCTACACACGACTACCGTGCAAACATCCTGCTGAATTTGATCAGCCAAGGAGTGATCTTGATCCCCTGCAATCCTGAAAATGGAGATGAACCTGACTCCATGGATCCTTGGGAAAGCCTGGAATTTTGCGCCCAAAATCCTCGATTTTCTGATCGTCTTCCTCATTTTGAAAATAGTATATAATCAATTGGTTGATGATGATAATTGGATAGACCTACTGCTTGGAAATTGGTTATTCATTAGAATGACCGCTTTGGGGTGCTCCCATCCCTCTTTGGATAAAGCTATTTTTATATGTGTGCCAAGCTGGCGGGCCGACCTTTTGGGCGTACGTTCACCGGACCAGGATGGTAGCGCTGCGATTTGCGCAGTGTCAGAGAAGGATGGTAGCCCAAAGTGGACCTATTCCTTGAGTCGGTATGACAGCAAAGGGTACAACTTGGTGGCGATCTCAGCCCGTGAAAGTCAACTGGTTGGTGGGTCAACAAATCTGGAGCACGAAAAAAACTGGAGAAATTTGGAATGGTTACTGTCTGGTTGTATACTGGCAAGAGAAATTCAGAAGTCCCATTTGGAGATGATGTTCTTATTAAAACCTTCATTTGTAGTGGTTTTCCATGGTTTTCCGCATATTTCCCTGTGAATTTCCCATTGTTTTTCCTCCCAGGCTCCCAGCATCGTGGGAGACACGGTCTATTTCAGTGACCTGGCTGGCTCGTCGTATGCAATCTCCTTGGAGGACGCAATACTTTGGTGGATCCAGCTGGACGATTTGACCAGAAAACCCCGCTGTTTTTTTTCCCTTCAATCCACTGAATGTCATACAGTATTTCTTGGTTAAATCCCATGAAATCTGATTATAGATCCTTTAAATCTGATTATATATATATATAGATCCTTTAAATCTTACTAGATCCTATATTTTTGTGGCCTTCAATTGGCTATTGATCTGGCTGGCAACGGCTAGCACTCTCGCAGGATGGCAAGGAACTCTGGCGACACCCGGGTCCCCAAGATGCCACCTTTTCGACGGCCTCTGCTGTCGTCATCGTCTCAGTTTTTCCGACCGGGACTGGTTTTGAACATGTTTGACTACCCTCTGGTAAACCAATGTAACTATGGAAAGATCCACCATTTTTCATGGGAAAATCCACTATAAATGGTGATGGCATCAAATTTCAGAGACAGAGAGAGAGAAAAGTTCTGTGGTCGAGCAACTGGTAGAAACCGTATTGTGTCACGGTCAAGACATGGGTCAGTTTCCCATGTTGGGGGATGGTCATCAACCGATTAAGAGGGAGTTACATAAATGCCCATCATGTTTGGATTCCAATTGTGGGATGGATGACCACAAACCCTGAATCCCATGTAATGGAAAATCCCAGATTTATAGATGATTTCCCCAGCTATAAACTATAAACCTCCATTGGGTGGGGTCAATGGAAAGATCTCCTTGGGATTTGACCCCCAAATGCCGAGGTTGGGCATGATGGCCGTTTGTACAACGCCTTCAACGTCGGCCGTGGGGCAAATTTGAAGGGAGCCATGGCCTGGGATGGTCTGGGAGGGCCGAGGGTGGCAGCGGGGAGATACCAAGGAATACAACCCAGTTGCGAACCATAGATCCTAAGATCAGTAAACCGCACATGTGGTGACAAAGCTCAGCTCAGTGGTTTGAAATTGGATGGTGCATTGCGAGTGATAATGCTCTTTGTCCTACGCACATGTATTCAGCGGAGATCCAACATGGCGAGCTGGAAATTCCCCTAGTTCCCATGGGATTTTCCCATTTCAATGCCCATTGAAAGCAGGGATTTCCATTGAGATGTTTGATTGCCGGAGGGTAATTCCGGGAATCACCATATCACCATGGTTAATCACAATTAAGCCTACTGTTGATGGTTAGTTATATCCGTATTATATCCCCATTTTCTATCCCCCCACTATGATTTACGTTGTAAATCCCATGAAATCCCATTAGTATCTCCAAGGCCGCAGCGGCTGAGCCACCCAAGCCCGGTGTTTTCAGGAACTCTACGGAGCCTGGATCTTCAGTATGGAGATATTGTTTGGTCCAGATCTTTTCCGGAAGGCCAGGCTTCGATGGCTTCAAAAAGCTCCCCAGCCTTTGAAGAAATTTCACAGTTTAGCCAATTATGAACGGAAAAACCTAACTCCTGTAATAGTAACTAGTTCGTTATAATATATATATAATATATATATTATATATATCATTATAGGCCAGTTAGAACTGTTAAGGGCTACAACTGCAGATTGCCACGGAACATGAGCCATGAAAGTTGATGTTTTACTTATGAAACATGGTCATTTTCCATATAGTTGGATTACCAGAGGGGAAACAGGTGATGATTCACCGGGTAAGATTCACCGGGGCTTCAGACGCCATGATCAAGACAATGGCCAACATTTGCATGGCAATGGATGGTATCTTTTTACATCACTATATATATATATATATATGTGTGTGTGTGTGTGAGTCCCGTTCAAAGAGGGTGATCACGAATTTTTCTTCGATTGAAGCGCGCCCGAACCTAGATCAAACAAATCCTCCCCCCCCACAGCTCTAGTCTCACGCTGTTTCAATACTAGTTTTGATTTGGAATCGCTTTTCAACAGTTCAGGGCATTTTATATGCCAGCGGCCCGAGTGCTGCACTTGTAGTTGGCTAGCAGAACTTGACTTTGAGCCAGACGTGTGCTAGTGACCTTGTCAGGTATTTCATAGGAACCACCAAGATGCGGGGCCCCACCAGAATCAATTTGGTACCTCGCCGGTGGTTCCCCCGCATCTTGTCGCCCCAGCTAAGATGGTGAAATCCTGTTTCAGGTCCAACTTTCAGCCACTGTCTCCAGGACTGAATGCGGCCCCTGCTGTCGGACCTGTGGGTCCCAAGAATCAGACGGTGGTGATTGTGGCCTTGGGAAGTAACCCGAAGCTTGGACCTGGTGATAGTCGATTTGGGGGGGTACCTTATCAGACACTCAAGAATTAAACCCACTAGCAGAAATGGGAGGAGCTTCAGCAATCCCAATTGTGGCACGCAGTTCACATGATCATCCACTAATCCCATACTCGATTGCTTAAATCCTAATATCCCACAGGGGCGTTGAATCTCTATTCTTATTGGGCTTACCCCGGCATTTGATTCTACGGATCTCCACATATCCTCAAAAAATAGGGGGAATCCCTAGGAATCCCTGGGTTTTTGCCCACATCCCGTCGGCCCGTCCCCATCTTCACAGCATGTCGCCAACCCACCGAGGGAGTGTTTGCCCGAACCTGTGATCGGCACGCGGAAGCACACAGAAGTGCTGGTTGGGAGCTGAGCGATAGACGGAGCAGAGTTGAAGGGGAACAGTTGCAGCCCGAATCCATTTGGGATTTATCCAACCATAGCGATTGAACCATCAGAAATATTCAGAAATAGGAATTCAAATGAAAATGGGAGTATAATGGGAAACACAATCAACAATAAGGTTTGTGAATTATGATACCCTCGGGTAATTAAAAAACACTTTGCCGCCCATGGTAGCCATCGCCCATTTGCTAGATAGGAACAGCATATGTCGAATGGGCCACTTTTAATGGCTATGTCGAATTACCATGCGATAGAGACAAAGAACATGCTTTTAGCCCTAAATTTGGTGCTCAAACATCTTACCCCGAACCATTGATTGATGAAACAGATGGGATACTGGTAATACGGAATTAATACGGATGTTGATTTTTGAGTGTCCTTTACTTGAGCAAAAATCGAAGCAAGTATTATTTTGGCCATCATTGTTGTATTTGGTCCATGCCGATTCCACTGGTTCCAAGTTATGATTGTTGTTGAAGTCAGAACATTCGCCTTTCCACTGTCATTATTGCGACGACTGCGACCATGTCCAATCGGACAGCAAAGCCCACAGGAGTCCACAGTGTGGAGTCTACAACTATTGTGAGCTGTGAGCCATACTCATATAACACACACACACAGATATATGTATATATAATTATATATTATATATATATGTATATATAATTATATATATAATTATATATATATTATATATATATGTTTTGAAGTGTTTTGATATACCCTCCCCTTTCAACAAACATCGATGTGGAAAAAAAACATCGTGTAGATCATTTTCCCAGGGATGGGTTGCCCGGGTTGCCGTTGCGAGGCCCTGGATGCGGAAAGTGGTGAAACCCTGTGGACCTTCACCGCGCCAGTGAATCGATTTGGTGAAATCCATCGAACTGCAAGGGGATAAGATGGCGGAGGCTACCCATTTCATCTAGACATGCCGTGTTTATATATATATATATCTATCCTTATCCGTATAGATGGAGGGATTTATCCTTATCCGTATCAATATATATATATACACGTCCATGTGTATACCTGTATATTACATATTAACACTCTATGTCAGTGCAACTTCGAGTTGATGGAAGGTGAGTTGTCGTGGGAACAGGGTCCCTGATACGGTTCTTTTTTTCATCAAGGATGGATACTGGTGATGGAACCATATCCGGAGAAATGGCATGGAATCTTTCGTGAACAAAGATGGGGTATCCAGGGGCTTTGCGAATGAAATCCAGGGGCTAGAACCCCTATAGCCAAATCCGACAGGGGAATCTTCTTGGTGTCCTGCTTTTCAGGTTCAGATTTAGGGATGTCTCCCTGAGGGTACTTGACCCAGCTCATGTCATGAAGAAACACTATATACTTGAACTTGATACATGTTTGCTGGGAGGCAGTCTCAGTTGATCCACGGGTGATCCACGCTTCGCATTCTTCTGTATGCCAATGAATCTAAAGTCTCAGTTAGTTGGGGTGTTCCTTAACCCATGATGATTCATTGATGGTTGCATGGTGATGAATCAATGATGATTCATTCAAATCTGAAATCCTAAAACTCATCATTGATGAATCGTGCTACGACCAAGCCAATCCCCACGATAGCAATGTGCGACCTGCTGAGGAATATTCTCTTTCCTGCGCAGGCCTCTTGACTGATGAAGTTTTCCGGAAGTTCTTTCCACGTAGGGTTTATGGGGGGAATAACTATGAAATAAATCATCCTGGTTGGATAGTGAATTGGATAGTTATTGTTAATAGTGAATTGGATAGTTTTCATGGGAATCCAATCCACAACTATTGGATTCCCATGAAAACTATCCAATTCACTATTGACAATCCCATTACCCCATTCCCTACTAAGCACCAATAAGTGAAGAGATGGTGGTCGTTGTTACGATCAGGGTTTCTTTGTGGAGTTGAACCCCTTTGGATTTTGGGGTACCCATGGTTGGACCCATCCAATACCCCCGAGTTAAATTTGTTGCCAGTGGATCCACTGGTGATATCTCCAGGGCGTTTTTGGAGTACGATGCGGATTTCCCAGCGAAAAAAACCTCCACTTGGGGATTTCCGCTAGAAACCTCGATTTATAGATGATTTTCCCATCAAAACCTCCTAATTGATGCATTGATTTATAGATGATTATCCATCTATAGATGATTTTCCATAGATGGTTTATAGATCTACTTTGGGAATTTCCCATGATGCCATGGCGCTTCGCCCCTTGGAGCCGAGGTAACACGCCCACAGAGATTTGCTGTCCCAGCATGTGGAGCCAGCCCACGCTGGCGCTTGCTACTTGGCGGATGGATCAAGCCGTAGATAACCAGAGGATTCAGCCAACAAAAATGGGGATGTTTCGTGAGATACCAACACAGGTGTTTTTTTTTAAAAATTGGATACTGTATCTTGTGGGGGATATATATATATATACATAGAGTTCACCAACTGGTCTTAAAATGCGGGATGCCCAAAAATCGCTGGTTTAATGGGAACATGTCTTTCTTTTTCCGATTTGGGCGGTTCATGTGATTTATTCAACAAAAATGGGGGGTTGAACGGTTGAACCATCAAGGTAGTTTTTTGTAGGTTAGATTACCCTCTGGTAATTTAACATAGCTATTGAAAATGGCAATTTATAGTGAGTTTTCCCATTAAAAATGGTGATTTTCCATAGTTATGTTAGTTTACCAGTGGGTAGATTCTGTTCGACCCACTTTGCGAAATCCGCCCGGCACTTGGATGGTGGAACACTCAGGATGGGCGAGTCTATGTAGCGTGGCAGAAGAGGTTTTGGAGAAGCATACCTGAGGATGTGGGGATGGGTTGACCCTCTGCTCGAGTTCAAATATCCCAAAAAAGGAATCGAATTCTTATGAGAATTGACTAACTTTACTGTTCACGGCTCTTTTTATTAGCGTTTTAGGCTTTCATTTTTTGTTTTGACTTCATACTCATATCGGCAAGATTGGGGTCCTAAGGGCTAGCCTTCCAGCTCCTTTGATAACCAATCCCTTCAGCTTAATATTAAATACCCCTACGAACCCTGGTTCAGTATTGGATTTATTCTTTTCGGCACCCACAGGGGGTATTTAATGATTCATACCAACTTTTTGGATCTTTTTGGTATGTCAGTTGGAGGTTGTTGCTCTCCGCGTCTACATATTGCCTTTGGAGGTGAACACCTTTAGCTATGTTGGTGTTCACTGCATGTTAGTCTTCGCTATTGGGTACCATGGTTTTGAGCCATTCCAATTATATATCAATCACCAACATATATATATATATAATTATATAGTATGTATACATTATATATATGTAATATGACCATTGTTTGGTCACCAACATCAACCACTGATCTTAATTCCACTTCCCAATATAACCCTACAGCCTACAGGAAACTAACACAGACACGAAAAACAACTGTTTCCAGGAACATGATCTACACATGCATTTCCATGTTTATGTTAGCTTTCTGGAGGGGATACATAGGTATTAAATGGATAGATTGGAATGCTGAATGTATACATCTTTTTATTTACAAAATATGTATTCATAATATGTATATATATACTTCTTCTCGCTATATATATATTATATCAGTATCTATATTTGTACGGCTTCGCGCTATATATATATTATATTATCTATATTGTACTTATCTCTAGTCGGTGGTTCCGTTCATGTTTTTTTCATTTTTAACCAAAGACACGAGGTGATTTCCATTCCCGACCAGGGAATCTCTCAGGTGAACTGGTCCGGAGGCAAACTTTTTGCGCTGGGCGCTCAGGGACGCTGACGCTCAGGGAGCAGAAGGCCTTTTGAGCACCTGACTAGTGATTTCATTCTTTGATTTTTCTATCCGATCCCAAAAAACAGTTGTATATAGTTGTATGAAGATATTTTTATACAATATATATATATATATAATGTATACATTATCTTGGAATATCTTGGAAATAAAATGGCACGAACTGACCTTGGAGGGTTCCCATGGCGAATGGCAGAGGCTTCTGGATGCGAATGGTGATGGAATCATCGATGCGAACAACCCTAGCGAGTTCTCGTTCTACCACCATGGGAAGGCCAAGTCAATTTTCTGCGTGGATGGTGGATGGTGATCTCCAGAAATTGAGTATCTAGAGATGAACGCCATACATATCCAGAAATATTTGGAAAATGCTGGGAAAACGGTTCCAATATATATATATATATATATATATGTACGTATGTATATATATATATCCAATATGGGATTCGTGGTTTGTAAGCGTCATGAGTCATGAGGGTATGGTTAACATTTTTGAGCCTGAGGACCAAAGATGTTGGTGATTAAAGTATTGCAACCAACTATGACATCCATGTATTTTCACAGAAAAAGTCTCCAATTTTTCGGTGCAGTGGTTGCAATGTGATGTTTAATCATTTAGTCCCCCTTCATTATCATCAAAGAGTCCTTAAACATCACCAATTCTCAGTGCCAGTTCTCCCCATTGTGATGGAGATTTGCCCATGTTTGTTGGTGATACTGTTGATGGAAGAAATCCTGCACCACCTTGGATGGTTAAAGCCCTATAAATAATGGAACAAACTACCTATCAACTGGTGCAGGATTTCTTCCATCCACAGTAGCCATGACCAAAAAACCCAGCCACAGTTCACGTTTTCCGCCCAGGGCTCCAACAGCCAGACGGCGATGGCACCGGGGCTCATGGTGCGCTGACAGATGGTCGACATGGGGATTCCGCGCCAGGGTAAACATAGAAAAAGGTGTGGAAAGCCCATAGGAAACCCGAGGAAAATGACCGATACATTCATGGTGTGGAAACTCCACATCGAACTGTTATATAGTTTACTGGAGGGTACCATGAAACATGGGTAAACAATGGATTGACCATTAAATACCGGATTTTGATTTGGGACATTCATGGAAACCAATGAATATTGATACCTTCGATATCTAGAGAACGTCATTTGCCAGCATTTTCCGCAGCGTCCACGGTGCCAGGTGGCGGCCGTCTGCAACCAGGTCTTGGGCTACCTGGACTGATGGAAGGGCTGTCCTCCCGGGTGAGGTCTTCGAGGACGAGAAACGCTGGAAAAATGGCTGGAAAAATGGCTGGAAAATGAGTGATGCCGGGGAAGGTTTCTGAAAAAAATGGGTTTCCCCACCATGAAGATGTTTTTTTTCCTTCTAAGAAACACACACTTTTCTTTTGGGAGGCTGAAGTTGCCGACAAATGGGGGTTGAAGTGAAGTAGCTGATGAAAGTTAAATAGCATTTCTTGAAAGGGAACTGGGGCAGAGGTTTAGTATTTAGGGGTCCTGCAGAAGTTCTTGGACATTAGGAGGGTCGAACGGTCGAAGCAGAAGTTTTCAGGAAGGGAGACAACCGAAAACATCCAGATGGTTCAAGAAACGGTGTACCCGTATGGCACACAAATGCCAAAACCAAGGGTCTGAGAACACTTGCGTGGAGCTGCTGTTGGACCGGAGGCATTCAAGTTCCCTTCGTGTTGTCCGAGATCAATTGCTCAACAAGCAGATGCTGGCACCTTAAGCAGATCGCTTTGTCAGATTAAGTCTCGGAATGTCTCGGACACTTCAAAATCTGGAGATTTTGGCAGGTCAAACATGAAACCATGAACACAGATTGAAAGAAGTCATACTGATACTGGCATTCTTTGGTCGCAGAATTTTCCAGGACCTGACATGCTAAGTCGTCAAGGTCGTCAAGAAAAAACTCCCGTGGTGACGAGATTGGTGAAGCTGTGGCATTTTTTTTTCCTAACATCCATTTATCCATTTTGGCTGATATGATTTATATGGGAGATTGAACCACATTTAGCCATAGTTTTGGGATCCGATTTTTGGATGTTTCAAAGTTTATTTTTCCCCATTCCATCCCATGGTGAGACAAACGATCCCCTCCCTGAGACAAACCCAGCTATGGTCAATACTCATGGTTAATAACCATTAAAAACGGGGCTAGTCATCCAATGATTATGCCTCAAAGCACTGAAAGACCACATGGTTTCACTTTGCTTTTTTGATTTGAGTGAATTGATGTGAATTGAATGACAGCGGTTATGATGTCAAACCGCAATCTCCGCTTGAGACAAAGTGCCTTGAATCACACATTTTTATGCGAAGTGCCAAGGCCCACATTCCGACTTTCTGTGTGGCGAGTTTCGAGAACCATGCAAGGCCCGCAATTTTTCTTGTTGGGTTTCTTGGATCATTATCCCAACATATCCCAACTAGAAACTAGAAAGTGGTTCATAACGATGGCGCGCTTTCTCAGTTGGGCCAGTTGGGTCTATCTATCTATCTATCTATCTATATATTTATATATATATACATATGTATATTATATACATCATATGAGAAGAGTAAGTTTCATATATAGAGAGATACAGTCTGAGATACATATATGTATTCTACATATCTACCTATTGGATAACCAAAGGAATAGGGAGTTTATGAATATCCACTTAGTATGATAGTCAGGCTGTGGGGCCTTCGTCCTTTGGTGTGCAGCTCGATCCTCAGCTTGGCCCATGCCCATGCGTGCAGCGGCGCCAAGCCCATGGCTAAGGCTGTGGCAGCGAGCGGTTGCTTTTTTCGCCCCCAATCGAAGCTACAGGAGATTTCCACTGAGAAAACCTTGGGAGCTTGTGCCAGATTTGGGTGTCTGGAGCGCACTCTGCCATGGTCAAAACCTGGGCAACCCATAAATCATGTTTTGACGATGCGTCGTTGTTGATCGGTTTTTTGCATGATAGATTGGCAGATTGCTGCATCAACAGAACCGCCTTCTTGTGGAGTGTTGCAACCTCCAAAAAGATCCAGCATATCAGTTGACACTATTTTGGTGATATTTCACCTTTCTATCTTTTTGCGGTTTACTCTATTGCTTAGATCACCGCTTCAGACAAGTCACGTGCGAAGAAAAACGAGGAGGATCGAGTACAGCCATTTCGATGAAGCGGCTTGCGAAGCAGGAAATGCATGGATAGAGCCTGCCCGGCGTCTTTGGAAGGGGTTGACCAGTCTTTGGGTGGGGAGAAAAATGGGGAAATCCATTGAAAAAAAACGGGGCACATATGGAAATCCATGACACATGGAGCTTTAATGGTAGTTTAACATGGTTTTATATGGTTTAGTAGTGATAAAAGGAAAATAATATCAGATTAATGGATACCGTCTGGTAGTTAGCCACGTGGCTGGCTGGGAAACAGGCTTTGAATAGGAGATTATAGCTGCGGTGATCATCGAACTAAATGATGGCACCTTTGATTACCGGAGGGTAGAAGGAATGTCTCCCCTATAAAAATTGCATTTTCACGGGGAACATGATGATAAAGCAATCATTTTTTTGATTTTCAGACAAACTCATGTTTGCCTTCATCGCTGTGTTTGCGCATTTGTGGTTTGATGTGAATGGAAAGTCAACTGTCATGCCATGCTCGAAAGCCAGGATAGTACATGAAGGTGTTTGGCAACAGAATGGAGGATCAAGTGCAGTTTGAACCCAAGTCTGCTTTACCACAGAGTCATGGGTCAAGTCGGTCAAGCCATTCAAGCCATTCCATGCCCCGAATTTCAGAGGATAAAACGGTGTTCATTCTAAACATGGACTTACCCGGTACCCTCCAGCAAACAAACGTGGCAACGGAGGGCAGGCCCCATTTTTAATACATGCATCATCCAAAAACTGGTGGATGAAATCCTCCATTTATAATCCATTTACAGATGGTTTTCGCGAAAAGGGGTATTTCCTTGTGGACTACAAGTGAATCATAAATCAATTATTGTATATAATCGGGGATCAACCCATAAAAATGGTGATTTTGGGGATGGTTCATTAGAAAGGGCTTACCGAAAGCGGCTTACCACATTATTTATGGATACTCTTTGGCATCTATTGACATGTTTGGTCTCAGGTGCTGTCAGCCTCCTTGGCTTCCCTCATGGTCACTGGCTCCTCTATCAGGCAGGGAATCGCCATGGCCCCAAGGAGTGAGTTACGATGCAGCTGGATTGCTGCAATGATGGGCCTCAAAAATCTCCCAGAGATGATGTTGTGGTGGGGTTATATTATATATAATAATATATATATATATATATATATTATAATATATATATACATTATATTATATACATATATATGTATATAATATAATGTATATATATATAACATGTGTATATATATAATTAATATCATATATATATACATAATACATGTGTATATATATATGTGTGTGTCTGGCTACCCCTACACATCACTGGGGGTTTGCGGCTTTGCGGACCAGCGGAGTTGTCTATTATGGGTTCCATTTATGTTTGTGCAGTTAGTAGCCATTGTATCCATTGTATATCTCGGACCAAGCCCCAATACAAACCGCCATTCCAAGCCCCTTTTATACTCCATTTGCAAAGCCAAGCGATATATCGGAGGTTTCCTAAGTTCTTGAGGTACCCATTAAATCACCCAAGTCATGGATGACCATGACTTAGTTTGGTTAAGCCATGGTGTGGGGATCCCCCATTTTAAGAATCTAAACCCACATATATATATATACATACATCTATATACTCCATTGGTTTCCACATCTATAGAGGTTTCCCATATTTTTTCCGTTTCCCCATTGGTTTCCCCATTTCGTTTCCAAGCTCACGACCTCGGCGCCAGGCTTCTCCAGGACTGCGACCGCCACCACCACTTTCCCTCAAAGCTATCCATTGCCACATCTATATCGGATTGCGACGCATTGTTGGTACAAGACATCAAACAGACGCAGGAGCGCCCTTGCTTGACGCCAGTGAACATCTTGCCGCCAGCACAGTGCTTTGATGCTGTGGGAACACTTGAGGCAGCCGTTTTTGCAGTTGGGCGTGGCTCAAAATCGGATCCAACTATGCGAAACATGGGTCCATTACTTCGAGAATCATTCCACCTAGTAAGTGTTTTAATAACCTTGGTTTCTCAAGTCCCCTAAGTGGCTTATCCCACCTATCAATGGGTTATAACTTATATCTTACTAAGTGGGATAATCCTCCAAGTAGTCCCCATGTTTGAATAATACCCGTTTGACCTCCGTTGCAGTTGTCTTGGTTTGTACATGTCTCGATCGAACACTGAATACCCAGAAGATCGGGTCGAGGTATGTCAACATCCTACAGTGTCCTTTTCCCACCGGTTGGTCGATTGATAGAGGGTTGGTTGTTCGCTTGGGAGTGAATTCCGGTTAGCAACTACTCAATCACCATGGTATAACCAACAAATATATATATATATGGGTCCCCCAAAAACCTACCTTTTTACTACTTTTACTGATATTTACGGTGCTTTTTTGCATATTTTGGGGAATACGTTTTTCACGTTTTCTTCAATAAATTTGGGCGAGGGGGGTACCATATATATATATATATACACATTTGCCTATTTCGGGGAATGTGTTTAAAGTTTTTCTTCAATAAATTTGGGCAGTAGTTTCGAGGGGGGGGTGTACCATACACACACACATATATATATACATATATATATATTGTATACATACACACATAGATACTGGTTTTTAAGTATGTTTGGTTTTTGTCTAAACACCAGATGAAGGCAAAACCAAAACCAAAAAACAAAACAGAATCCCTGATTAAAGTCAAAAGTTTTGGCTTTTTGGTTTTCCTTGTTTTTTTCTTTTTTTTTTGGTTGATTTTTGCACGTAAAAGTGAGTTTTTCCTCAAACACCAAAATTTACTTAAGTTTTTTGTTTTTTCATTGCTTGTGTTGCAAAACCAAGAAACTCAAGGGACTTTTTGTTTTTTCATCCAAAAAACACAAAAACTCAAGGGTATTTTTGATTTTTGGATGAAACACCAAAAAAAACTCAAGTTTTTTTGTTTTTTTGAGGAAACACCAACTTCTACGTGCAAAAATCAACAAAACCACCACAAAAAAACTCAAGGAACACCAACAAACCAAAACTTTTGACTTTAGTAAGGGATTATGTTTTTCTTTTTTATTTCTGATTCACGATTCTGAGAACAACTTTTTGGATCCCAAGCCTTACGTCTGGATGAGATATAGATCCAAAAAGTTTTTCTGAAAATCTTGAATTTGAATCTTGAATCCAGGAACCTTTGCACAGTTTGCAGAGTCTTAGGCATATAATGTGCAGATTGGTTCATCACCCAGAAAGTTACTTAAAACCATTGGAAGAAATGCAACACAGCCACGACTTGAAAATAGGTGCAAACCAGTTTCAGCATGGACTTCGAAGTTTTTTTCAAAGCAAAATCCTCCAATATATGCTTTGCGCATCAATATTTTTCAAAGATGACATTCCTTGCATGAAGTGGCATCATTTTGTACAGTCCCCTTATATAAAGGAGTGCAGCACTTCTTTGAAAGGAATATAGGGTTATTTTCAAAGAGACTTGCAGCTGTGCAAACTTAGAAAGGAGTGCGAAGGAATATCGAGTTGTTTTCAAAGAGACTTACAGCTGTGCAAGTTTTTTTGAAGATGTAAAGGAATCTATGGAAGGAGGACCGCATCATTTCAGTATGGAGTCCTTTGAGTACCCATTTTAAACGATCGTTGGATTTCTTAAAATGTTGGTGCAAGTGTGGGCAGAGCCGCCTTCACAAGGGAGTAGAATAATGCAATAATACAAGGGGAGTAGAGCCCTTCAGTGTATGTAGTATTTTTTGAAAGAAACAGGTAATGGTTGTAAGTCTGCAATACGCTAAAGATATATTACAGGTATATTAAAGGAATTTAGGTATACACATGTTATATGAAACGGTATATTAAAGGTATATTGAATGGTATTGTATACTGTAGGTGTATTAGATGGTTTTTCAAATGCATATTAAATGTATATTGATAATGAACATGTGTTCATGGTCAATAGAATGGTATATTGAAGGTATATTGAAGAAAAAACAAAGGTACATTCATGGTATATTAAATGATATACTAAAAGTATATGCCATGGTATATATATATATATGTCAAACATGTCAAAAAGAATATCAACGGATATTGAAGATATATTAAAGTAATATTTCTTAAAATATTTCTTATAAAGATATAGTCAAGGCATTCTCATGTTTTGTTAAATGGTATACTAAAGGTATACCAAATTGTGTATTAAAGACACGTTACAGGTGCATTAGATAGCATTTAAAAGGTATATCAAAGGCATATTAAAGGTATCCTAAAGGTATGTTAAAGGCAAGAACATGTCCAATAAAATTGTATTTATATATAAAGGTACGTATAAAACGAGCATGCAATAATACAAATAAGGATTACTATGAAGTGGAACCCTTGGGTGCATGTAGTATTTGTTGAAAGAGACAGGTCATGGTTGTATGTGCGCAATATGCCATTCCATATGAATGAAACATCTGAATAAAACACCCAACAATGTTATTTTAAAGAAGTGAAGTCTTTCCTTAAAAACACATGTCATACAGAAAAATGAGAAGGAGTCTGAACTGCGTTAAAGGATGTATTGCATCTTTCCACATATGATAGTTTTATTGTCAGAATGTTGTTTCTTATTTAGGGGAATATCGTGTCTTCAAGGCAAATTGTAACCTGTAAGCAGCATTTTCCTTTAACAGCAATCACTTCTTTTTTCAAGGAATGCAGCATGTTTCAAACGTAAGTTACTGGCTACAAGGTAGCAAAAGGTAGGTTTTTGGGAGGGCTAGCTATATACACTATATATATATAGCCCATACACACACACACATATGTATATATACGCGCAAACACCCCGATTCGCCCACACCCATTTCATGCTGCACACTTGGGGATAACAAACGTTACACTTTACATTCAATTGGGAAGATCAACAAGGGTATTTAGGGAATATGAATTTCCCACCCCCGTCCAACTTTACATTCATTGAAGATCTTCAATAAGGGTTTACTTCTCCCACCCCCGTTGAACTTCTACATTCATTGAAGATCTTCAATAAGGGTTTTAATTCTCCCACCCCCGTTGAACTTCTACATTCATTGAAGATCTTCAATAAGGGTTTAATTCTCCCACCCCCGTTAAACTTCTACATTCAATGAAGATCTTCAATAAGGGTTTAATTCTCCCACCCCCGTTAAACTTCTACATTCATTGAAGATCTTCATTAAGGGTTTAATTCTCCCACCCCCGTTAAACTTCTACATTAATTGAAGATCTTCAAAACGGGTTTAATTCTCCCACCCCCGTTAAACTTCTACATTCATTGAAGATCTTCAAGAAGGGTTTAATTCTCCCACCCGCGCTAAACTTCTACATTCATTGAAGATCTTCAATAAGGGTTTGATGATGATGGTGATGATGGTGATGATGATGATGATTGATGATGATGATGATGATGATGATGATGATGATGATGATGTGTAAGAGACTCGCACAGGTCCCTAAGCTGTGCGTGCCGATATACAACATGAAGTTGGCCATGATGCAAAAAACTCCAATTTTTACCACGTTTTCAGCACATACGAAGATGGCCGCCGACAAGCGCGGGCAAATCGAGGTGTTTGCCCGTATATATACACATATTCATATATATATATATATTATATAGAGATAGTTATATATATATATATACACGCAGGGTATACTCCACTTCCCACCTATGACATCCTGACGGTTTGGGATGCAAGAAACGTCGCCAGGCCGCCTGCCCCTGCAACGGTCTGGGCCTGAGGATCCGGGGTCAGTGACGCACCCATGGATTTTTACTGGGGATTTAAGCACCAAAAATGTGGGGAATACATATTATATATATATATACGTATATTATAGTTAATATAGTTGATCAATGATAGTTGATATTTTTTAATTAAATTATAGTTGATGAATTTTTAGTTTCTGGGGGGTATACTAACCCAGCTGGTTGATAGGGGAGTATAAAGTAACCGATTATTGGGGAATATTTACTGACCATGGATATCTGATAGTAAAAGAATCTTGGGGTCCGGATATCCTTTTGAGTTTCCATGATCAACTCTTTGGAGTGTAGTTGAACTGTAGTTCGCATATTTGATGTATATACATCCCAGTTCACACATGGTGAATCTCGCGCTTATGATCCAGCTATTCATGGGATAAGCCAGATAGAGGGTTACTTCCAAACCAGGAGTATCAAGCAGTTGCTAGCTGGTATGTACCTCCCAACAGTTTTTTTTTACCTGTCAGCTTTGTGCAAGTCCGAAAAAGGTGTGCTGTCACCATGGTGATGAACCACACATCCGGATGGTTACCCTCTGGTAAACTAACATAGCTATTGAAAATGACCATTTATAGTGGATTTTCCCATTAAAAATGATGATTTTCAATAGCTACGTTAAATTACCAGAGGGTATCCAATTGATTACTGTTGATGGAACTTGCAGGCACCAATTGGACCAGCACAGATGAGAGCGCAGCAAACATCAGCCACTTGGTCAAGAGAAATGTGCTGGGGTTTCAAGCAGATCACCATGGGCATGGGTCAAAACCTCACCATATTTTGGGGGGATGAACATCAACAACAGCTCTGGCAGGACACAGGAGGTCCATTTTTTTTTTGCCGAAGGTTCCCGACATTGAAATCGTGTGTAGCGGAAGATTAGCCACCATTTGATTGCTGACTTCTAGGGGATTAACTGATTATTACAACTATCAAATACATGGGTTTGAACCACCAGAAATGGGGAGATGGTTGAGAACTGATGGTTGATGGTTGATCCTTGCCATATTTGGGGCACCACTAATGCCGTGGCTTGAACAGGTATGGACTGTGCTTCTACTGAGGTGCACTTTGTTTGTTGAATCCTACAGATTCGTTGCATTAACAAACAAGAACTTTTCGTTTGAGCTTTTCGTGTTGCTTCCGTTTTGGCCGCATCTTGACCGCAAGGGGCAAAGAATCACGGAGAGTCTCCGGGGTGTGCAGGATTGTCCCATCATCAACGAAGCCTACCTGGGGAAGACGCAGTACTTTACCTACAACTCTTCCGAGGAGAGAATTCTGTGGATTTTTGCAGCCCAGGGCCCAAGCCAGCAGCGTTTCCCGCAGGCCCAGGCATGCTTTTATGGGGCCAACACCAACCAGGCGGCAAACATGGAGGGATTCCAATGTCGACAAACATGGCTGAACATGGCTGAACATGACTTGGATTCTGGTCCTTTTTGCATCAGGCTCTGGCATGGTTCAATCCTCAGGACTGACCACCGCCCGAATCGCTGGCGCAAGGTTCGTGCACAAATGGATGAGCATTTGGCCTGGTATTGGGTCTGGGTTTAAAACTAATGTACAAACAATTTGGATGTAGGCTGCCAAATATGATCAATGATTAACATGTGGTTCCCAGGTCCTTTCATTTTTGACCCGTAGGTCCTTTCGCCAGTTTGGTGAACCGCTCATCATTGGGGGAAACTGCAGGACATGATCTGCGTCGATCGGCTCTCCTATTTGAGCTGTATACCGAGCCCGTCCTGCACTCAGAAGATAACATGTTTCCTAGGGATCCAATGGGGTTACAACGGGGATATAATGAGGATATACAGCCATGGCATGCCATGGCAATTTACCAATTTATGAAACAATGAAGCAAAACCAATGGACTTTGGATGATGATGCGGCCCAGTTTTGGGACAAATCCTGTCGGCTTCCCGGGCCGGGGAAGCGATGGATGCCATGTGGATAAGACACAGGCTGTGGGTTTGTTTGATAATCTGAGGACGGTCTTTTTGTTTGTCAGGTGCGATCCAAGAGACATGAACTGCAATCCTACATTTGTATCCCCCGTTCGAATTTCAACTACAGAATGGGAGGCCTTGTGCCCCGTTTCAAGGGCATTTCCGGGCTTAAATTAAGATGAACAAATGGGGATGGGCCAGGCATTTTGTACCCACAGCCTGGGAATTGCATTTCATAAGTTTTCAACGTTTCGGTAGTTGAAAGACCTTTAAACAACGAAAGTCATTTTGTAGCAAGAGAATTTGCCCATCGGAAGACAACATGTAAAAACCCAATCTCATTTTGTAGCAAGGGAAGTTGCCCTTCGGAAGGCAACATGTGAAAACCCAATCTGATTTTGTAGCAAAGCTGATGATAAAAACATATAAAGACCAATCTTCATTTTGTAGTGGTGGAGTGTCCCCTTCAAGCAACTTGATGATAAAAACCAATGTTCATTTTGTAGTGGTGGAATTTCCCCTTCAAGTAACCTCATGATAAAAACCAATCTTCATTTTGTAGCAGTATCATGTTGTCATTTTCCGTAATCCTTTGGAGGTTGAGAACCATCATTTTATAATGGCTGAGGTTAGGAGACTTTGGTACAAAATGAGGGGCTCGACCCCATAGGTGAAATTCAAACCGGGATACATTTGTTATTTATGTTTATGGGAGATGGTTGCACATGAGCATTTGATGCTTCTTTGCCGTACTGCAACCCTCTCATTCCCTTGACGCAAAAAAGGGTTGCCTTGTGAACCCACTAGAGCTTCAACCTGCACTGGAACTACTTTGGGGGGTTAGTTGTATAATCTTATACAATATTTTCATATATTTTCCATTTAACGGACTTGACACATCACCTTCAGATGGTCTGCTTTCAGCTGATGGAGTTCAAGGAGAACCAGTACATGAAAATTTGAAATTCTCCAAGCGCTCCTTATGTCAAAGGCTTAGTACTTCATCTACCACGCTTTCGATGCTGTGGCCAGTGATGCTAGTAGCGCTGACATTTGCCCATGGGTGGCGTGGTATTAGCTAATGTGCTGACGATTTGGCCCCTGGTGAGAACACCCAAAGCACGGGCAGCGTCAGAGTTAATGAGTGAACCACTTGGGGCTGCGGCTGCGGATTTCAAAATTGATCTGTAGAATTATGACTTTGTCCAGAAATGATGGAATCCACATTTTCCAAGCGATTGGTTTTGGGGGTGTATATCCGCCTTTTTTGGAACAATCCTCACGGGTGTTGCGCAGTGCAAGTGGCAGAGTTTGATCTCACCCATTCACCATGATCGATGTTTCACCCACTGGCGTGCAGGGAAGCTGTTGCTCCCTGAGTGTAGTGGACGCCATTTGACACAAACCGTTGAAAGGCTTTTAATCAAAAGTAGGCCAGAAAATCGCATGGGAAGCCAAAATTGGCTTTTTGGCATCATGTTTGCGTGGTTGAGACATGCGATTCTTGCCGTCCTGTCAAGAGAGTGCTGAGTGAAGGCTGAGTGAAGTGAACATGTCAATGGTATGATGGCAGCACAAAGTTCAGCATCATCAGCTTCGAGGTTTCAAACTGTAGACATTAGCCGAAGGTTCCTACATCATCATTCGGATAATTTGTTTTTTTCCCCGCAGAGACACAGCAGACACACCATGCCAGACACGCCAGTGTAATCTAGTGCGGTTCGACATGGGTGAACAGTAGGCATTTTCAAGCCATGGCATTTGCACAGGACTGCTTGTGCAGTATGTGCAAGATGCCCTATGCCATCAAGAATGAAACAGGTCTGGGTTTTACGGTTTACGTTTTTTCAATAGTTCTCAAGTGATTATGGTTTCCCATCCTATTTGGAAAGATGATCCCCTACATGACAAATAGGACACCAACCACAAAAAAGGTTATGATGCTGAGATGCAAAGTCTGGTAGGCGCCAGACGCCACTGTCAGGACGAGGAGGATGTCGAGTTTCAAGCTCCTGATTTGAAGGCCTGGAAATAGTTTCTTGTGGTCGGTCACAGCTACTCAACAGTTGGGCGGTTTCCATAAATGGGGGATCTCCAAAATGATCCAAAATGGATGGTTTACAATGGAACATCCTATTAAAATGGATGATTTAGGGCTACCACTATTTCAGGAAACCTGCAGTTGTTTTAGTGTCCCCCTAGATGCTAGATTTTCTTGCTCTTGCTCTTTTTTTTCTCGCTCGGCGTGGCTGCGCTGCTGTCGCAGTCCCAACAAACCCCCATGGGGTTCCTGCAGATTTTACTAAAACCAAGCCTGTGAACTTTGAACCATGGAATCCCAGTGATGCAACTCAAATAACTTATATATATATATAGTTATATATGTTTGTGGGAATTAACTTCAAATTTTAATGGTTTTTTAATCGGATTCAATGGGGTTTGATCATATGTTTGTTAGCTAAATCCCCCATTTGTTGGGTTGTCCATGGATGACATTTTCAAGCGCCTCACCTTGCAGGTCCCCCTGCCAAGCTTCCCTCTCGAGAAGGTGCGCTTCTCGGGGAGGGGAGTTGTTCCTCAAAGTGAATGGATCAACATGTTTCAGGCCGACGAGACCAGACACTTTGGAGGACGTTGGAATGCGTTCTTGTTCAACATCCGCAACATTTTGCCACTGAGTTTTGATTGTCTTGTGGAGTATGAGAATTTTCACACCAGGGATGTGGGTCAAGTAAAATCACATAGCCAGGGTGGCGCAAGTCAACCATGGCCGGAACACCTGAATCGCCAGGTAGGGCCTGTTGGAGATGGGTAGCATCCAATACCTATGTTCCCCATCTTTCATGAGGGGAACATGGGTGGGCACCAGCGATTTTGATATTTTGAGGATGGCAAATGAAGGCTTTCTGTAGTGTCTTCTGAGGAGGGACTATTATTCCAGTGGCGGAAGTATGAAATGAGTTGATGGGCTCTGGATGAAGTTTTCGTCGAGATATTTCAGAACGAGATAAGGACATGAGGACAGCGTCGGAAGAAACTTGCACCGTGTGCTCCCAGCGATGCAGAATTCGTTACTGCAAAGAAGACGTGACATTGACGTTTGCGCGTCAGACTGTAGACAGATTCGTGACAAAATTTGGGAAAATCGGGAAACCAGGCCTTTTGGCTCACAGCCATACTAATTATTCAGTCAGGAATGCACATCAGACCGCGACGGCTTATTTAAGGGCAGGTCCCACCGCATGTCGTGAAAGACCTGTGCACAGCACTTGATGATCCCTAGTGGCCTTAGCTGGACCCAGCTTTGACACTAAGACAAGCATCTGGCTGGTCAGTCCCATCTCTAGTTCTGCAAGGAATCATACCAAAGATCGCCGAAGAGAGTTCTTCAGCACTGCATGTCCAAGCCATGTACAATGTGCGGACACAGTCAGGCAGTAGGTTTGTTTTCTTTGCACACAAGCGATGCCCGGGTATTGAGGGGCGCTGAAGCATGTCAGATGACTCGGAGGCAGATTCTGTCATGGAGTCAATGGACAATTCCACGATGATGTGTAAGCTCCAAGGCTCCAATGGTTCCTTATTCAGGGATGCTTTATGTGACTCCCAAATTCTAAGTCAGTGGGTAAATTCGAGACTGTTGAGGACATATGATTTACCACATGAGATGCTGTCGTCTTAAAACTCAATGGACAGTTTTTCCATCGATACCGATACAGGATTTTCCCATTTAATTGGGATTTACCATTGCCCAGTCTGTTTTCTGAAGGCTTTGTCGGGTGCAGGACTCTCATAGGTTCTAGTATTTGTAGCTAGCAAGCCTTGCCATGAGCAGGAGTCTGAGAAGGAAAAGGTAAAAAAGACGACAGACAAGAAGGACAAAGAGAAGAAAGGTCTGGCTTACATTCAACGCTTTGGTCTGAGTGCATCGATTGCCATCTTGTTGTGATCGGTTTCGTTTTTTTTTTTTAAGAAAAGAAAATTGGGGGTAGTGTACGTCATTTGTTCTCAGCTAGGAGTACTTGGCCATGGGATTTTAGTTCACATGACCACGCTACAGGCAAAGCCAAAGAGAAGAAAGACAAGAAAGGTAAGAAAGAAAAGGCGGGCGACTGCTGGTGATGGTTCCGTAAAGACGAAATAGAAATGCGGAGCTCATTCAGCCGGGGATATATAGCGGTCCGTGGTGTGCGGTCGCAGAAACTGGTGTTCTGCTGAGAAGAAGAAAAAAGAAAAGAGCAAAAAGAAGAAAAAGAAGCGCTTTGGCTCATTTGGATTTGTCAAAAACTAGGGTACCGCGAAGTCCAGTCATTTATCATCATTCCCTTTTAAAATTGCAATTTTAGGGGTGTAATTACCCCAGTTTCAGACACACTCATTTTGGTCCAAATGACACACGGCAGCCGTTTCCCATGAAGCGACCATGGCCGAATTGAAGTTAACCGCCTGAACTGAGGAAGTCCTCCTCCTCCTCCTCTTCTAGCCACCAAGCTGCAAAGGGTCTGGTCTTTACCCTGCAGCAAGCCATCTACATTTCTGGAGCATCTTCCAGTATGCCAAGTTTGTTTGAGATGTAGGTGAATTCAGGCAGCGGATGTTTCTTTTGCAGGATCGAATCAAAAAATGGGGTCCAACAATGCGGGCACGAGTTGATGTTGGGAAAGGCGGCTTATTTATTGATCTGGAGATATGGAGGTTTCCTGAAATAATCCCCCTAATCAATCCAAATCATCAATTTTAATGGGATTTTCCCTTATAAATCATCCATCATCAAGGGGTACCCAAGAAACCTCCATATCTGGACGGATCACGATCCCCACACTTTGGCACCGAGGTTCCTCGTCAGACTCCTCCGAGCTGAGAAAGAAAAGGAAGAGAGAGATGAAGCAGAAACAGATGGAGGCAAAACATCACCAAAAGGGCATACTGCCATCATAAACGTGTAATGTTTTCATTATCAATTATGAAATCATCATCCATAAATGATGGGGAATTTATGCGACCATTGATGACCATTGTTCTTTTTCGCACTGGGTGGCTGATTTCAAAAAAAAAAAGGGGTCACAACTGGAGAATCTCACTCAAAATGTATCGGTTTACTGGGGATTATCCAAGTCCGCGAACTTGGAATCCAATATTCCATAGCATTCCCCCTGTTATTGTCAATATTGATCATCAACTACCAGCAGATTGTGATATCAAATGCACTTTTGTTTGGCGCATGGGAATCCCTATCAACCACCCAGTAGCTTCGGGAATGACAGGTCAACTTTTCATTGCTCTTGGAACGGACAATCCGTTCCATGCACAGGCGCAGAAACAGAAAGCCCGAAATTACCTCGTGATGAGAGGTGCGACACCATGATTTTTCCAGCGATGTGGGGTTCGATTGAACCCAGTTCCATACCGTACACCCAAAACATCATAGGATATAAGTTGGTTATATAAGTTATATCCCCATAATGTCCCCATAATATCACCATTATAATTTATACTATCCCTATTGGTGATATCCCCGTGATATCCCCATGAACAGTCACAAAAAGTGTTATTTCGCGCTTCAGCTCGGCTCGAGGCCTGAAGACACCGGATGGACAGTTCACTGAGCAGGTGACAAACTTTGAATCCAGCTTTCGTGAAGGTCGATAGGTTCGTCACCATTGTGCCCCAAATCGCGACTGGAGGGCACCATACTGTCGTATGGGTCGAGTCAGGGTATGGAGCCACACCAAGGGTGGATCTTCGTGGTCATATTGACCAGGAAAATCATGGAAAATCCATTGAGTTTCTCTGAGTTTCTGTGATTTGTTTTTTTCTTAGCAATTGATTCATGTTGGTTTTTGGAACATGACCCATACCCAGCCCATGTGAGCCACTGGAAGTAAACCCGGACGACAGGAAACCTATGGCTTTGAATGTACCAGCCAATAAATCAATGGGGGGTTGTGCCAGATTTATCTTACATACCAATTCTGGGATTCTTGGTAGACCATACTACCTGGCGTCATCCATTATGGGTTGAATTCCTATCAACTAACCACGACTTTTTTGCTGACAGCTTCGATTCTGCCCCTTTTTTTTCAGCGACTTTTTCGAAGCTGTCGATAAGTTATAGTCCTTAAAACAACAAGGATTCAGGATATGAAGTACCGTGGTAAACATAATAGTAATAGCAATAATGATGATAGTAGATATAACAAATGCAACAAAAATAGCAAGACAACAAGGATAACAATAGTAACAACAACACTCATAGTACCATCCCCAGCACAATGGGTGGGTTTCTTTCCACTCATCACCTCCAGAGCATCGGCGAGCGCCAGCCTCGACAAGATGGAAAAAACGCAGTGCCGCAGATGAATCCAAACTTGCAACAGCGATTTCCCGTTTGAGGATACATTTGGATATCTGGTGTTCAAAACGCACTCCGTGAAGGGCCAACATAAGGACATGCCATGATATACCCTCTTGGTAATTTGTTACAGTTTCCTATTGAGAATCACTATTTTCCACAGGTCAATAATCTATCTATATCTAAATTGGCCATCTCCAACGCAATATTTAAAACTAGCAGAGAGCATATAAATCATGTTCAAGACATCTACATCGTTGTTCAGCTCTGGATTTCCAGGATCCGTTTGCCCGGTTTCGAAAAGGAGCATCCCGCTACTATCCTCCAGTAGGGAGCTCAGCTCACCGGGCCCTGTGACAACCTGGGCCCAGTGGCCCAGTTCCAGCTGTGTTCCGAGACCAAGTTCGATCCCTTCAAAGAGTCTTGACCTTGGACACAGATGACACAGATGACACAGGAAACGACAGCATGGCAGACTTTTTGAATGGCGGTAATGCGAAACACACTGAGAAGGATCCCCAGGGTCTTCCAATCGGATGCTTTTCACAAGCTCTTTGTCTATGCAGTTATATGCTTTAGATGGCTTTAGAAACTCCAAAAAAATAGAGAAGAAAAGCGTAACTGAAATACACAATGAATCACCGACAACCCATTCCTCACTCTTGGAATGTGGCAACCAGTGCAGCCAGGGCACCAGGCTACCCCAACCAAAACTTGCACTGGAGGTGGCGGGAACCAGCTCCGGAGCTTCGAGTTGAAGGACTTGGTTACAGTTCCCCAATATCTATTGGAATCAAGGGGGCCACCCCCTTCACAATACAATGGAAGCCACCTATTTAAGAGGGTTTATACATTTTTTTGGCGCGATTGCATGTTTTGATAGTTGGCTTCTCCATGTGGGTGCTGCTGAAAAATGGGGCTTTTCACCATTGCTTTCCCCATTAGCACCTGTAAGTCTAACTTGTATGATTTTGGGCTCCCCCTATGTCTTTGCAGCAGAGGTTCACTATGTGGGTGTGTCTGAAAAAACCAAATGCTCATTGCACTGGTAATAGGGAATTCTCTAAACCACGGGATTTTGGGCTACCGCCTTTTCAGACAAACCCATGTTTCACTTGTTCCCAGCCTCTCAGGACACCTCATGGAAGCTCCTGCACCCTTCGCGCCGCTTGCCGCCGAAGCACCGGCGCTCCCGCGTCCCTCGGAGCGGTGTCAACGCTGCGGCAGTCTCTTCCCGAGCGATGCCAACTTCTGCGCGCGTTGTGGACTGGCGCGAAGCACCGACGGGCAAAGCTACCAACATCCGGAGAAGCTACCTGGATTTGCTGATGTTTTTCATTTTCCAGATAATCAAAAGAACAGAAAAATAGTGATGCAACAGATAATCTTAAATTGTTAATTACTGTAAATTCTTTGCTGTTAAATCCACCAGATATGAGGAACGCCTGATTTCTGACTTGTTTTTCTGAAGCGGATTCCAGGCTCTTGCCCGGCCCACCTCTCCGTCACGAGCACCGCACGAGCCCTGGCTTCAGCACGTCCCAGCTGCCACCCGAACCGGATCTGGGCGGACCAGGGGCGGCTCCAGGGGTTCAACCGCAGACCATGGCGAAGCAGATGATGTCGTGGTTGGGCGGCGCTCCAGCCCCGCCTTCCACCCTGACGCCTGGTGGATTCACATCGCCGGAGCCGCCCGGGCAACTGTCAGCTCCAAAGGGCATCAAGAGCAATTGTAGGTCAATGAAGAATCAACGACACTGCCCACCATCAACGCTGGGGCCACTGGGGCCTGTTTGTGGGTGAGTTCTGGCCATAGTCACAGCTTGGCCTTCAAGTTTGCAAGCTGTTTGGATACAGCTGTTGGCAAAGAACAGTCAATTTCAATGAATTTCACAAAGATTGAAATCCACACAGTTGAGTCGCGTGAGACACCAATCAATTTGAGGGTTCAGCCTTCTGTGCTGCTGATGCTACTTCTCGGGGATGGTTCCAAAGTGGACACTTCCTGAGCCATCCGAGCCTGAGAAACAATGAGTCGAGGAACAAACAAGTATATATACATATATAGTTTATTTTTCCTTGGGATGTGAGACGATCAATTCCCTCCAATCAACGCGAATGTTTTTGGACGTTTTTGGCATGGCTTGAACTTCGGCAATGTGGCGAGCTGTTTTTTCCGTTGCAAGAAGTTGGCTCTTGGAATAGCCATGGATTTCAGTCAGATCCTGCGTAGGAAGATCATGCTGGAAGCCCTAAGATTCCCAAGATGTCAATGAGGAACTTGCAGATACCAAGAATTCACGCTTTGAACATAGTGATGAGGGTACGCAATGATGTCCTGGCAGGCAGGGAGTTGTCGAGATTGCGTTTGTGTCGCAGTCTTTGTGGTAGCTCATGTTTGAGCACAATATCATGCGGATGCAACAGGATTTCACTTTTGTTTCTCAAAGAATGTGTGCATTTTGCGTCATAAACCCTCATTTTCGCATGGTGTCGGAGACCAATACGAGAAATGAACATCTTGCTGTTTTTATATCTAATGAATGTGGGCATTGGAGATGTGCAAAGGCCTTCGGAACCCATCACACCACACCTTTGCCCACACGTGAACCATGAAATATTTGGGTATGGTTCACGGACAGAGGCCCTGGGATAGCTTGGATAGCTCACCTTCAGTTTTTGGTTGGTTGATTGGTACCTACGGTACCCTGGTGTGTTTGTCCTAAGATTTAAAGTACCCAAGTACCTTGCACGTCGCGAGGCCAAGCCTCCCGGCATCTTGCAGAGCTCCATTCTTTGTGCTTTGTTGGTGTCTGCGACCTCGCAATTCTCAGAGTTTCTGGACGAACATTTGGGAATTTTCATGTTCATTATTCCATTCCTCACCGTAGGGGTTGGCAACCAGCATTTGGAGGTTGTTCATGACCCAGCCAGCCGGAATGTATGGTCTAGCGGCTAGCGGGAAGTGTTCGGTTTCAATGTGCTTCCGTATTACCCTAAAAGCAGTTCTGAGATATGCTGCCTCGCAGCCACCATTGTTGAAGCATGAGGTTTGATTACCTCAGAAATGCAGGCCCGCCAGTGGGAAATGCCAGAGAGAGCAACCTTGACAAGCAAAATCCATGCATGAACATGAAGACCAGACTATGGACAAGATTATGGACAAGATTGCTCATTCATGTGAGCAGTATTCAAAGCCCCTGTTGGTTGATGACTAGGAGTTCATACTCCGACCCAAAATATTAGGGATTCTCAACAGAATTATGGGAATTCCTATTAACCACACTGGAATGACAGAGGGTTGAACACTGCTCGTATGTGTCTTGTGCTTGTTCATGGTACAGGTCCGTTTTGTCCCAGTGCCCTTGAGCTGCTTGTCATTACTGGATTTCTGGGTTTGTCCAAATGTGGAGTATACCCTGTTGGGAATCCCTATCAACTATATGACCCCAAAGTTGCTATTCGAAATGGGACACGGATGACCAGTCACTAACAATCAAGGGTTGTCAGCCTTGCTTCTTGGGCGGAGTTCGTCTTTGCAGTGGTTCACGACTGGTTGGGACTGGATCATCAGTTTCGTTGATGATCCGACAGCTGTATTCTGAAATTTTATGATTGTATGACGATTTCCTGTGCCTTTTCATCGCAAATGAGGCTAATTACCTGCCCATTGCTGTGGGGTTGAATCCCGATTTTGTTGCTTTGCCATCACCATGTTGACGATGAACTACCACCGTTGCAGTAGTCAGCCCAAGGTGATCTTGGGGATTATTTTTGGGTTTACCAATCGTTTTACCAACAATTTACCGTTTATTGATGTCTATTGGAGATGGTCTACTATTGGGTACACGAAAATGAAGCTGCATTGCCATGATAAGCATGTAGGTATGTCATCAAACAAAGGCACAAACATAGGTCACTATACATAGGCATGTGGGTGTTAATTACTATTGGGCATGACCATCAAAGTTTCAGAGATTGTGTGACCGTAGCAAGTCACCGAGGCTGTGGTTCCTGAGAGTTCCATATGGTGCAGGTGTCCCAAAATGTGGAGAAGGCCAGGGGCATTTCTGCAGGCTTCCTTCTATGTATATGATTATATAATCATATATCATATTATGTAAATATATATATATTTACACATCACTGTATATATATATATATTCTTTGATATATTATTGTATATACACTTACATATGTATATTATTTGTTTTTTAAAGGAGTTGAGCATCACTTCACAGTGAATTTTCCTGGTGAACCCCCCGGAGGTGATGTAACCGTGGAATGTAGCGAAGAAATTGCCATGTAAGCAAGACACATGGCATGTAGATGAGAAATATGGGAGTATAGATGAATATATAGTATTATCATATTGTATAATACTGTACAATATCGTATAATATGGTATAACACTGTATATTTTAATCGTGTATGGGCCAGATTGCATTAGATTTGCGAGCTGATAAGATGGCTGACAGATAGATAAGCAGCAAGATCACAGTCACAATAGGTTTTTTGACGAATTCCGAATGCCCCAAAGAACCCAAAAAATGGTTGGTAAATGGTTGGTAAACCCAATCAACATGAATAGTGGTTTTGGGTCCCCCCATTTTGAGAAACGGCTGACCTCCCACGTTTCAGACTTTCTGGACGGATTCTGAGTTGAACCCAGCTGTCACAGAGTGCTGTCAAATTACCTCAATTAGGCGGAAGGGGCCACTGTTAGACTTGAACCACCTATTTGGGGGGTAAGTTTGACTCACCCCCAACATGTTGCTTGATTGTCCGATGTGAGCTCGTTCGACATATTTGATCAGGGGTCACTGACCACCACATTGAGTTTGTCTGAAAATAGCAACCCCAAAATCCAGAAATGAGAACCTAATTTCCAACCCCCGATGAACCCACCAATTTGGTCCACTTGAGTTTTTCTTTGGGGGGGTTGATCATTTAGACAAGAGGCCAGTGACATCCCCAAACAGTACGTTTGGGATTTTTACCAATCATGTTTCTATGCATATAAACCAACCATTTGAGCCGTTAACAAATGCCCGTATCCCATCTCATTATACTAGCTGGTTGATAGGCGGCCCGTTCATATGGGTTAGTTCATGCACCCCAATAACCAGGTAGTATCACCCCATATTTCATAATAACTAATCGACAGTTGGGTATACCATTAATCACCATCATGAACCATTATATCAAATATTAGTCATCGTTAATTTCGTAAATGACTATTGTTATCAACCATATTAATCATGATTCATATTATTAACCATATTTTAAATAACATTTTAACAACTATGATTAACAACTATGATTAACCATATTCTAATAATGATTGACCATCATCCTTTATGAATCATATTATTCACCAAATTTTGAAGGGCTCATTTCAGTTCCCTGCCAGCCTTTGCCAGGAGTTCTGGATGGGCCTCCGCTCCCAGACAGCTGGAGATCTCAGACATGGTGATCTAACCATTGAAATGGGTGAAATGGGTGACTTAATCATTAAAACATAGTTCAACCATGTACCAACATAGAGATTTCATGGGATATGAATGGGCACCAGGGGAGATTTACAACTACAGCCAAGAATCTTATATTGATGTCCTCGAAAATTGGCTAATTACATGTATTTAATTACCATAATTTCCACGGAAGAATGGCACTTGGATGATCCCCAAATTGCTATGATTTGGGCCCTTGGGCCCCTGTGCTTCGAAGCACAGACCCTCTCCGTTTGGGTCGTTATATTTTTTTGGTTTTCTCGAGGTTTTTGCCACTTTGTCAGTCCAACAATGTCAGCTGCTCATTTCGTTTGTCTTTGTTGTTTTCTTGATGCTTTGCTACTAGGAGAAGTCTTCACCCTGACAGACATCCATCTGGAGAAACCTAGAGAGGGGAAAAACCGACCTTCCCAAAATGCATAAAACAAGCAACGCTTTGCTGTACTAAATTCATGTTTGTCTCAAAGTGTATACTCTCTCAAAGTGTGGAACCTATAGCTGGAGAATAGATTCAATCAGTTTTTGTTCAATACAACCCATTGTCTCCTTTGAAAGGGGCAGCAATTCTGGAGAGCATGCAATAAATCTTTCAAACACGTGCTTGCATGTTTACGTTTTTACAAAGGTACAGCACGCAATTTATTGCAGAAAGTATGGTTCTTTTCAAGATGCATGATATTCTCAAAATCAATTAGTTCAAGATACATCAGTCATTTCAAGAAGTGCATGTCCCAAGTTTTCATGCACAAAATGTACTGTTTCCCTGCAAGTATCTTGGTGTTTTCAAGAAGGCAGTGCTCCAACCATTTAAGGCAAAATATGGATTAAGCCTGGAAAAGGGCTAGATTCAGCTGCTGTAGTTGAAATTATCTTTTAACAAAATACATGTTGAATATGGACGCTTTCTTTTTTTTGAACAGCAATCATGAACAGCATACCGGGATGCAGAACACTTTTCAGAACATGCAGAGTTTGCAGCTGGAAATTGCACTCATTTCTGTTCAATACAAAATAATATGTTTTGGAGAAGCAACACCTTTGTGAAAAATGCAGTAGATATATCAAATAATAATAATATATGTTACATGTGGCAATGTGTGCAACAGTACGATGCAGAATTCACTGCAGTCATCAGGATCCTTGTGTTTAGGTAATGTTGCTGCATTTTCTAAAATGCTAAACAAACAAATAAAGCATTCTTTGAAAAAGACAAGAACCCTTCAGACAATGCAATATTTTGGTCAGTAGTGTCTTATTATCTTTCCAAGCACTGTGTCAAATTCATTGAAGAAAACACGTTTCTTGACCATGTCATAGCCACAGAAATATCATAGGCCAAAAGCGCAACATCAGACCTTTCACAACTCCCCCCATGCAACCCGCTCTCTTTAACCTCCATGAGGGGTCGATACAGAAATCTGAGGCCCATAGGATTGCGAAACTGTCTCATTTTTTGTCTCAGGGCCCACGCCTCCTCCTCCAACTTCGACGACGTCAATGCCTCAGCTTGTTTTTGCAACCATCGGTATTTTCATTGGTATGGTCCAGATTCTTGGTAAGCTACACGCAATTCTTGTGATCTACTGGCGCTCCATTTTGGGTCGTATCCATATGAGCAATGCCCAAAAAGTCACAATTTCGCAAGTTCGGTTGACGGTCACGTGCGATTGGGCAAAGTGGTTGATTTTTTCTTCACCATGACACTTCATGAAGTGGCATTTCCTGTCAATCACTAGCTTTGGGTCTGACAAGTTGGGTGTTCACTCGGGACTGCTCTGAGATGTGTCATGAACCAGCAAACAGCTGCTTGTTTTGGTGGTGTGTCTGAAATAGGGTACACCCGCAATGTATGGGGAGAATGACCAGTGGGGTTTTCCCCGTGATCTATTTATTTTTTTTAGTTGGCACAACTCCTAAGGATATCTAAAAATAAGAAAGTATATCTCACGACTTGTTGGCTATATCCCACTTAATATCCCCGTTGGACCCTTGGATCAACAATAGTTGGCATGTTATAAACCATTATATCACCATTCATGCCCCATTAAAACATGATTTTGGCCCGTGGGCCCGTGAATATCCTTCATGTACCAGGACTTTTACCGTCGTCACCACAATTCCTGGCTTTCAAGAGGAGAAACAGGCTGCCGCGGCTCTGTCGAAGCGTCGAAGTCTGATGGGGCTTGGAAAGCCTCAATTCAATTGCATATCATTAAATCCATTAATTATTATTTGTTTTTTCCATTAAATACCATTGTTTTATATTTAATATATCCATTCAATTACACTGATTTAGATATATTTACATGATGATGCATTCATATCTTGTACAATTAATCATGATTTTCATTGAAATATGGATGATTTACGATGATCCATTCATATACCCATCACTTTGGGATGCCCGCCCCATTCATCCCATGTAACTTGACTGTGGCTCATGTCAAGTTTGTTTTATATCCCATTTTTCCTGAGATTCATTGGATATTCAGGTAAATTCATCTAGAAGTGAGGGATTTTTTTCTCTCAATCAAACATGGCAGTGGACAATCCCCCACTTGTAGATTGAATTTGCCAATCAACTGTTGCATAACTATGGGAAATCACCATTTTTGGGTAAATCCACTATTTCTATGGCCATTTTCAATCGCAAACTGTTAGTCATTACCAGAGGGTAAGCTGCATGAAATTTCGGGGATTTCCCAGTGTTCGATCACCGAAAATAACGCGAGGCCACGTGTTGCACGACGCTGCCCCCACAAAGCACCGCCGTTCCGAAGTACACGACGGCTCCGCCCTACGAATACGTCCGAAAGCTCGGTTGGGGCTTCCAGGATGTGGACGATGGCATACCATTGGACATGGGGTTGGTACCTGAAAATGTTGAGAAAACATGAGAAAAAACCTAGATTGGATGGTGAATCATCATTTTCCGCTATTGACAGATCTAAATGGCCAGAACACACCCACATTGAACCCGTTGAGAGAAGCTGTTTTGAGGTGTGGGACACGACCACGGCAACCTCCACCCAAACAAGTCTAACAGCGACGGTGACCTCAAGCACAACGGACTGCTGCTCAGACTACCAGATTTTTTTGGGTTACCAACAAACATTGAGGTTGAATGGGCCAGTCAACAAAAACAGGGAAGATCGGGAGATCAAAAAAAGGAGTGCGTGCCAAGGCCAATCAACACCACTTGCCCAATCTTGCCGTTCAGAGTTCGGACTGTGGCAGGACACAACATTGACCAGCCTCACAACCACATCTAGCAGAAGCTCAGATGCACAAGAGTATAGGACAAAAATAAATGCCTCGAAATTAAAGGTGGATGAACAACCCGACATCATCGATACAGAGTATGTTTAAGGATGTTCACAGGGGGGCTCATTTTTGACTGTAATCCTTAAGTCTGTTGACTTCCAGATCCTGTCAATGGGCCCAAACACTGGATTCCAAGTATTTTATCCGCATTTTCTTTAAAGGAAAACAGCGACAGCCAGAAAATGACAGTGGAGAAAACAAACACGACCAGAACACATCAGACCCTTCCATTCCCAAACACAGACCACAGATGAGTACCATCATTTCATATCATACCTATACCTCTATACCTCTATACCTCTATACTTCTATACCTCCATACCTCTATAACTCTATACCTCTACTGTACTATACGTCTATACCTCTTATACCCTTATACCTCTATACCTCTATACTCTCTCTCTCTCTCTCTCGTATATATATATATACACAGTATATATATATAGTATATATATATATATCTATATTTATGTTTATACACATCCATATTTCTGTCTAAACATATCCGTTCATTTTCCCAAAAAACACCGTTCCAACTCCAATCACCAATTTTTATCCATTTTTGACATACCCCAAGCCATGCCAACACTTAGGCAGTGTGAGCATGCCGTGGCTGCTTGGATTTGAGGATCTTCGGTTTGTTCTTTTTCTCCCGTTGAATCCACCAAACATGGGGATATTAATGGGATTAATCATGAAGCAATCATCAAGCAACTTGATATAACTAACCGACTAAAATAAACTATTTACTCTAGAGGATTCACCAGTGGGAATATTTACTGGGAATATTTACCGATTTGAATATGGGGAATCTACTCGGAATCTATTTATTTTCATTACATACTACTATTTGCGAAATGGTCCCCTTATGCATGCGAATCCAGGACTAAGAGAGGGATATTCACCGGCAGAACTAACCAATAATGTTTAGTCTTGAACCTTCAAAACCACTATTTTAACAGGAATGTTACCTTTCTTTGGATATTTATTCAACATGGAGAATTTCAAGCAACAAATATGAGGAACTCTATAAGTATATATATATATAATCAAACATTATCATTTCACATGTCATTTTTTCCATTTTATCATCCCACGTTGTGACTTCACCAAACACAACGCATACTGTACATTTTTTTCCGATATCCTCTCGTAATCAAAAGTGCCGATCCAAAAAGGAACTACATGCTTTTTCCTTTCAAATCTCCACTTATAGGGGATTTTCCATTGCCATTGTCAGAGGGTATATGTGTTTTCATTTTTTTCATTATCCTTTGGTAATTCCACACATAGCTATGGAAAATCCCCAGTTTCAATAGGTACATCATCTATAAATTGGGGGGATTTCAACTTGCTATCTTGGATTTGACCGGGTCTCCCAACGGTTCGGCAGCCATTAACCACCATTAATCACCATTATATAATCATCAATCACCATCAATCACCATTAGTCATCATTAATCAGCATCAATCACCATTAATCAGCATTAGTCATCATTAATCATCATTAAATCACCATTAAATCACCATTAAATCACCATTAAATCACCATTAAATCACCATTAGTCATCATTAAATCACCATTAAATCACCATTAAATCACCATTAGTCATCATTAATCAGCATTAAATCACCATTAAATCACCATTAAATCACCATTCTTCACAGGGTATCCCAACATCAGGTGGTGGAATCCGGACTACTACTCCAGCACCACCAGCGCGACGGCCACCTCCACCAGCGCCAGCGCCACCAGCAGCACCAGTTCCACAGGGACGACCAGCACCTCCAGCAGCATCACCAAGACCAGCACCACGGCGCCGTGGCCCAGGACGTCCTCAACCACCAGTGCCTTGGAGGAATTTGGGTATGGGTCAATACCTATAGATACATTTTTAAGTGGGATGAACATCCATAAATCCCAGCTATTTTGGGGTTCACTAGGTACCAGGGTTTTGACCCATCCCCATTTCGTGGGGAAAGACACCGGGGGCATTTTGGGACGTGTTTTTTTTCCGAAGAAACATGGGACGTTAAAACGAGAAACATGGGGATTGCCGCCATGAAACATGAGGGATTTAGGACACCCTGGGATTTGACCATCAAAGACGGAGGTTCAACCCAGAAAAATAGGGATTTCAGGAAGAGAAAATGGGTTTTCACCATACTTAACCAACAAGAATTTTCGATTTGATAAGGATGATTATATGAGAGTATTTTATGGGATATACCTGCAGTAATTTGTGTGGATCCAAGAAGTCATGGGGGACCCCAAATTATCATCAACGTCAAATTGGTCAGTTTTTTGTTGGTTGTGTTTTTGTTTTTAATGGGGTAGGGTAGTACAATCTTTTTTAGAATATTTTGTTCATGAATTTGAATTTACACTACTGGCGCTGATAATTAGGTTCCTTTCACTGTGCCACTTGAGTGTTTGTCCTTATCAAAGATAAATAACCAGTTTCATGGTTGAGGTGGTGTTCTCTTATTGGAGAAACATGGGTTTAGCAATGGACATTGGGGAGGTTCTGGCACAACAAGTGCGGGTTTACAAGTGAACAGGAGGATGTGATGAGTTGTCATTTAGCAATATTTAGCACTAATTTAGCACACAAATATAGTAGTTGAATTTTGAAACTAACAATGGTGATGTGTCCAGAAAAAGAACCAACACTACCACCCTGAAATAGGAACATCTCACGAACATGATTGATGTCCCGGAAAATTGGATGATCCCCAATGATCTCATTTTCACACACCCGATGCACCAGCCGTCTAAGGCACTTTCACAACTTCCGTGACCAACACGACAGTGGCCACCAGCACGACCACTACTTCGTCCTCGGCGACCAGTACCACGAGTGCCACGTGAGAGCCTCAGATTTTTGATGTTCACGGTGCCCCTGTTTTCTTAGCTGAGGTGGGTTTAGCCTATAAAAATGTGGATTTTAAATGTTTTTTAGGACAACCAATGGGAATTTGTAGTTGATATAGCTGATTTCTGAGACCGAAGGTGGTTTATAAGTAAGTGAACTCTCGGGTTTAGATAGATACATGTCCATCATGTATAGTTAGATGGCTTGTAAACTTGTAAAGCAACTTATAACTGAGGGAGCATCCGCCTTGTCGGGTCTTTTGAAAAAGGGGAGGTTTTTGCAGCATTCGCCACTGGGATTTCGCCAAGATGCTGTTGGAAGCGACAATCTACCAGGAAACCATGGATTATTTTGTGCCAAAAATGGGGATGTTTCCTCCGAAGTCTCCACAACAAAACCACGTATCTGTGATACATGCGATTTGTCATGCTGGCTACCAAAAGATCCCTGGATCCTCTCTATCAACCAGACCAGTTGGGGATGCTGGGCGATTTCCGATTTCCATCATCAATCTCCATGCCGTCTGGGGATTTATTAAATTTGGTAAAGCCCGTAGCCCTCAAAACCTGTGGGTCGATCTTCAAATTTTGACCACTGTGGTGAGAAGTATCAGGCACGGTTTCCATTCTTGATTCATAGCCCCCCTTTCCAATGCTGTCTAAATCCCCAAGTTTTTGCTGCTTCAATCCATATCTTTTGGTGAAAGCATCTTGCTGATCACATCCTGACCTGTTACTTCAAAGTTTCTTTCCGGTAAAATTACAATTTAAAGACAAACAAACAAAATTTGCAACCTGATCCAGTATTTTCAGCAGGTTTTTGACCGCGTATTAACTGATAATCCCTGATTCTTGCAGCTTAATCACACGCATCTTTGTCCTTAGTTTCCGCTGGGGTTTTCACCCTGCATCTCTAATTTTTCCTCGGTTTTTCCGTTTATTTTCTCCTGAATCCCGCATTTTTCCATATTTTCCCTAGGGTTTTGTAGGTTTCTGTCCATTTCACCGGTGGTTTTCCTCCAGTTTCTGTGGCTTAGGCGCACGACCTCCACCAGTAGTTCGATCTCTCGTAGCAGCACCACGACGCTCTCCACGCCCGCAGCGCTCAGCTGGGGCGAAAACTGGGCATGGCTTCAAATTGGTGTTACAGATGTGTACATAATGTACATCTGTATATAATTGTATATATATATATATACACATGCATTACATTGCACTACACTACATTACACTGCACTGCACTGCATTATATTATATACATTGTACTAGATTACTTTACATTATATTACATTACACTACATTACATACGTACATACATATATATAGTATATACATATATATGTATATACTATATACATATTATACGTATACATATTATACGTATACATATGCATATATATATATATATGTATATGCATATGCATATGGCTAAACGTGATATTGCGACAATGAGAATGCCAATAGTATACATGTTAAACATGGGGTATAATTTAGGTTTGAATATTGGGTACCCTCTGGTAAATAAACATAGACCCTGAAAATAACCTATTTTTAATGGAAACTAGTCTTCCAACCCCTATCTGCCAGGGTCTATGTTTATTTACCAGAGGGTAATATATATATATATATGTTTGTATGTAAAAATGACATGATCATATATCTATTAATTCTTGGGTTATACATGTGTACATCATTCAGGTTTGTCTGAAGATTTAGGGGGGAATCCAAAAACTTCCGAATTCCAATGGACTATCATCATTTTCCATCTTAAGATGGCTATTTTGGGGTATACTACTGACCACATTCTCAGACACACCCATATGTGTATAAAACACACACACACATATATATATATATATGCCAACAATGACATTTTGATAGTGATAATGACAATAATAGTGGTCCCTTGTAACAAACGCTGTGATATGATTCTGATAATGACAATGATAGTGATGCTCACTATTGCTGTATATGTATGTATAATGTTATGCGTGCATAGTAGGACGGATGTATGATATGGTGTATATATATATGTAAACACATGATATAACTGAACAATATGTAATGATAGTATCAATGATAACAACAAGAATGCATATCTGTTTAAAGTAGGTTACTGTATCCCATTGTGAATGAGCTGAGTACGGCTACGGCTATTGGAATGGGATGCCTGTTCATACTCATATGACTCACCAAGTCTCAGATTTGTGTGGTTTCACCAGCAACAACTGGGGATTTGACTAACAAAAAATACATTGAATGGTTAACAGACAAGAACGGTCTTAACTCGAATCTTCACTCAGACCCAACTAGCTTGCCAAAAATACATGGGACAATCATGTGTTGGGACCAGGTATCACCTGGGAACGATCCATGGAAATGGGTCATAAAACTGGAAAAAACTGGGCGTTACCCAAATCGCCAGCGATGGTCCAAGAGTCCCACCCGTCCGGCCAGGACCTCAACGACTGCAAGTAGCACCACAACAGTTCTGCCGGATCCTCCGATCCCTTGCCTGGCGCCGGGAGCCCAGCCAGCGGCCGCAGCCATGGATGGTGGCATTGGACAAATGGGTTTGTCTGAAAATAGTGTACCCCTACACCCAATGGTTTTGCTGATCATTATCCCAATTATAAATGGCTATAATTGGGAATATACCCCATTTTCAGACATACCCAAATATTATGGCTATGGTTACTGTGATTGGGCTCAACTTTCGTTTGGCATTTGTCACGAAGTGCATGAGCCAATATTCCACTGACCAACCAGTCACAGGGATTTGCACCCAAGCTTTGGCTCCTTCTGACTTGAAACAGTCTACCTGTTTCCTCCAAAAGTCTCCTGGCTGCGGTCCTCTGGGCCATACCAGAATTGGGGATGTTTTCAAGCTTTGGTACGATACCATCCAGTAAACTAACATAGCTATGGAACATCCCCATTTTTTATATAGGTAAAAACATCGATTTCTATGGGCCATTTTCCATAGTCATGTTAGTTTACCAGAGGGTAGTTGGGTGGATCAATGTACTCCATCATCCACCTCCCCGGTCTGGGGATGAGAAGCCTCCAGGCAGTGCCCCAGAGTGACTCCCACGGCATGCCGGGGTGCTTTGATGTCCGATGCGTCGGCGTCTCAATGGAGTCAGGGCTTGGTGCAGAAATGGGTCTGTCTGAAAATGGTACCCCCAAATGGCCTTTTTTTTACATCATGGAAAAACAATTCCCTAAAAAAATCTGTGATAAACGATGATTAGCATATTTTCAATCAAAGCCAAAGTATGGGAACATGTTACTCTTGACGCCCCTGTTTTTGTTGAGGGGGAAACCATTGGTTTCTTGTAAATGATCCCTTAAATTAATCCATGGAGTAAATTTCAATGCCCCATCGGGATCCATTGCGGAGATGGTTGTCATCCTCCCCTGCCGCCTCCTCCTCCGCGTCGTCGTCGTGGTGGTGTTGGTCGTTGTTGTGGTCGTTGTTGTGGTCGTTGTCATCGTTGGCACAGTAGTCACAGCATCAACTATGAAGACATATCTCTTCCTAAAAGTGTGCTATTCAGCTCATGGCACCCCCAAAAAGAGAGAACAGTTATATATTTCTCCCTCATTTAGCATATAGGACTTGACTTGTTTTTTTTGGGGGAGGGGCACGATATTTTTCCTCGGAAAATCCCAATGACTCTGTCAATCCGTTGGTAAGTGCACATCATCACCCATACTACATGGTGGAGAAAATGACTCATGTAACTTAGAGATTTTCTTAATATATCATCCCACAATCTAAGAGTAAATACCATCATGTGGCCCCCAAAAATTAACATATCCTATACTACGGCAGGGTTTCTACAGGTGTATTCAATATTCCGGGGCTGCCCTGAGCGTTTTGAGGATGTGTGAGACGACAATGCTGAGTCCCTGCACCGAGCGGAAATGGGAACCGAACGGTTTGGGTCTGGTTTAAACATCGGGAAGCTCTAAAGTCCCACAGTTGGTCATAATTTTCCGCCTTAGAATGGCCATAGATTGAAGATCATTGAAGTTTAAATCCACCATTTTTGGCCCAACCGACAGCTTTGATTTTTTGATTGATCATCATTTTACCTTTAAACTACATCTCGGCAAAACTTGTAGCAATCTGGAGCCATTTCTTAAAGATGCGAGCGATTTTTTATGCTTTAACGGAAAAGTCTGCAGGAGACCATGGTGAAAATCTTGCGAGGTGAAACCATGTAAAACCGTGAAACTTTGAAGTTATCCCAATCTGTCACTAGAGATTTATTACCCATTAAGAGCAGCATCCCATTCATGCTGGGATGCATGACCATACTCCATTCATCCCATGTAACGCGACGGCACATATCAAATTTGTTGAAGATCCCATAGAATATCCCCAATCCGATGATACCACCATGTTTGCCGGCAAAAATCACCATTTGTATTGGGTGCCCTCTGCTTATTTAGCCTAGCCAACTGGAAATTCACTATTTTGAATAATTAGGTATATAATTCATCATAAATCATCGATTTCCATAGGCCATTTTCCATAGCCATGGAAAAAAACCAGGGTAAATCGGAAAAAAACCCATTGAATCCCATTAACTCCCATTAAATCCTGATAAATCACCATTTTCCTATGGTTTTCCTATGGTTTTTCCATCAAATCATGATCAAATCCCAGGAAATCACCATGAATCTGTCGTTGTTCGGCGGCCCAGATTCGCCGTGCTTCGAGCCCAGCGAACTTCTCTTCACCTGCCCTGGAACCAACACGGTGGGGGACCTTGGGGACCCTGGGGACCTTGGGACCATCCCCCAGCATTTTTTATAGGTGCTATGCCCAGTCATGGATGGTTTATGGTTTATGACATTCTTTTTTTTTTTTATGGGAAGAATATCATCGAACTAAGTAAGAGTCTGGTGGTAATAAGAGTAAGAGTCTGCTATGGATATGATTGGACGGCCTATATTTGCTTCGATGATCAAATCTGGGTCAAACATGATGATTTTCCCACACTGATTTTTTTTCAGCAATGGCCATTCACATTTGTCTGGAAAATGATGGTTTAAGTTGAAAAAAAAAACATGGGACTTGTCGGGGTGCCCAATTCTTGGAGGACCCATCAATTGGTTGGTTTGTCAAGTTTGAAGGAAACCATGGCCCGCGACATCTTTTAGGCTTAGACTTTAGGGATTAAGATTTAAGGTTTTGGAGTTAAGGAGTTTACGTTTTCAATGTTTTTGGCTTTCGGGTTTGGCATTTCACGGTTTTTAGATGTTTTTAGGCTTTTAAGTTTTGAGCCTTCTGGGTTTAGGATAACTTGTGAAACGGACGCGCACGACCCCTGCCCGAGCTTGAATTGCCGGCTATCCATAGTGTTTTCAGAGAGCTGCAGGCAAATCGAGGTGCCTGCTCATATTTGTATCATCCAAAGAAATAATCGTAGTGTGAGAAATCCTTGGATCCAATTCTGGGATCCCTGGCTGTTGCTGCTGTTGGACAGCCTTGGACAGCTTGTGAAAAGAGATGCCTACGCTTGGAAGAATGATACAGAGTGGAAGAAGGTGAACTTCACTTATGTTTGGCACTTGTATTAAAACACACACACAGACAGACAGACACACATCCATGCATGCATGCATGCATGCATACATGCATACATGCATACATGCATACATGCATCCATGCATCCATGCATCCATGCATCCATCCATGATGCATGCATCCATCCATCCATCCATCCATCCATCCATCCATCCATCCATCCATACATACATACATACATACATACATACATACAAACACACACACACATATACACATATACACATATACATATACATATGCATATATACACACACGTATATATATATATATATCATGTAGCATGCTTGATCGAAATCCTGGGACATCTGGGAGGATGTATGGTTCATGTTTGATACCTGTATTTTTTCACAGCTTTGTGGCATATATCGCCAGCCCCGGATACGCCAGGTGGTTATTGTTATACCACAAAAAACGGTCATCTATCAAAATGACACCCGCAATTAGACCAAGCACAGGTCTACTGATCTAGAGCTTAAAGTATGGCGGTCCATTGTTTAATCATTCTGCTCACGTGTGGCTCCCTTCGCACCGGGCAGAGGATCCAAATCGGCGCCAAGACTTGTCTGCAGGAGAAGCAATGTTTCTGCCGTGCCATTTTTTCCGTGCGATTTGTTGCAGATGCTGTTTTCCATTTTTTCGAAGACGGCCAGTTCTTTTCAAATTGACCTCCAAAATCCCCAGAGGTTTGTCATCTCCATTAGACATGGCCAGGACACTACGGTGTGAAGTGCTGGATTTGCAGCTTCAGCAGCACCATGCTTGAGAATGACATGGTGCCAGATGCCAGGTCCTGAGCAAATGTTGGTGAGCAGGTTCTGTGCTTGATGTGGCTTGATACCATTCAGCTTGATTTTCTTCAGTTTGATGCTGTTAAGAACAGTTGTTTCATGATGGACCTGACGTATCTTGAGGTGGACCTGCGAACTGGGTACCTCATGGTGGATCTGAAGTTTGGCACAGCCCTTAGTTCCTGGTGACCAGGCCAGCACACATGGCCGCAGCAATGAGGTCCAAATATGTTGGGCAACAGTCTTGACGAGAAGCACATCGATGGGTACGTTTGGAACTTGGTTGAACTTGGTGCCTCCTCTGGACAGAGAGCTGGCATACCAGTGACCATGGGTGACGACCCGTGGACTCTGCTTAGGCCATTTTCATAACCAATGTGGAGGGAGACCGATTCAACTTCAGCAGCCCTGCCAGGACCTGATTTTCGATGGGAAAATGGGCGTTTCGTGGGATGGTCCCTAGGCCGAACTGGCCAACCCACTGCTATGGCTGCTATATGCTGCTATGGTAAGGGTCCATTGGGAAAGGCAAATGGATTATCTCCAACTCAGGCTTTTTTTTTCAGTCTTGCAGGAGAAGTAGTGATAGACCGTCCGATGCCACATTTTCCAAGCAGAAGGGTTTTCTGCTGCCAACAGGCAACCTGCGGCTGTCAGGCAGCATCATTTTGTACACTGTTTTTGGGCAACATGGTGTCATGGTGGTTTCTTAAAGTTGGGGGGACTCCCAAATCATCGAACAGTCGTCATTTTTTCCATTGGGAACCCAATCCTCAGTGGTGTTTTGGGGCACCGCAATTTATGGAGAAAGACCTCACACTGCCTGCGTCTTGCCCATCGAGGTCATGACGATCCCGAAAAAGTTCGGAGATGAGTTGGGAGGTGCCTGCTGCGAGGTGCAGCCGACATATGGACGGGTGCTTTCTGCATGGCGAACCATTAAGTTTTTATTCATATTTTTTCCTTGGAGGTTAAGCATAAAACCTCAGCTACTTCCAAACAGATGGGAAAATCGTAGACTTTGGATGTTGTTGGATGTTTTTCTGTCGCAGACCTTTTCGAGTGATTGGAGCGTTCCAGTGAAGCAGGAAACAACATCTTGCACATGTCATGGAAGCTGGAGCAAATTGAGTCTAGAAAGAGGGAATGTTGTATGCTTAATCATCTTTTTTTCCATCTATCCCCCAGTAACTTAACCATCAAATGGGGATCAATCTCCTAATCTATGTTATATATCTATATATACCATCTGGTTATTTAACATAGCCATGGAAAATCCCAACCATAAATGGAGATTTATAGCTGGGAAAATCATCTATTTCTATGGGCCATCTATACCATGGCTATGTTAAATAACCAGAGGGTATATATAGTCATCATTTTTCCCATGAAGATATGACAAACACTTGCGGCTTCATCCAACACTTGCCTCCGACAGAGGAGAGTGCCTATTCAGCTCGAGTCACGACGGCATTTCCACCAGGGGAGAGCCAGGCGCGGCCTTGGAGATCTTGGAGGCTTCTTACCATAGCCCATCATATCCTGTTCAAAACGAGGTTGTAACATGCTATAACGGGTTATATACAAATATATATAATTATATATATATTTATCAAGCTACCAATCATTCACTACAGTAACTTCAAGTTCATCGCTCAAGTAAATCAAGTAACTCGGCTGCAACACCTGCGAGGTGCGCTTTGAGATCGTTCCAATCTTGACAGGACGCTTTGGGGAATCGCCATTGAGGGCGGAACTTTGGTCGGTGAATGCCTGTATCCAGCACAAAATAATCTGGAAGAAGTACAACAAGTCAATAACCCGAAAAGTTCGGCCATTCTGGGATAGTTACCGCCATCATTCCAGTGTCGCAGTGAGGTTGTTCATCCAGTGTCGGGTAGGTCGAGTCGCTACCCCCGGAATGGTTTGGGATGATCGACGAATCCACAGGGCTGGAACACTGGAACATTTGGATTACTCAACTATATACATCTATATACATATATAATATAATTATATATATATATTATATTATATATATTATATAATTATATATATATTATATTATATATATTATATATTATATATATATTATATATATATATATATATTATATTATATATATATACATATATGTATATATGTATATATATATACATATGTATGTATGTATATGTATGTATATATATATATACGCGCAACGCCTGGGTTTTGCCCAGGCGTTGCAGCGTAGAGGTTTCCCATTCACAAACAAATGATGTTGCAAATTACCGTAATTCCTATGGGGAAAATAACAAAGGTACTAGGGACTATTAAACAAACAAGGTCAAAACACCCAAAATTCCTATGGGAAAAACAAAAACGGCATAACATTTGAAATTCCTATCGGAAAAACAACAAAGGTACTAGGAAATTTTAAACTCTCAAATCGTGAAACTTAACATTCAATTAGGAAGATCAACAAAGATATTAGGGAATATTAAACTCCCACCCCCTTTAAACCTTAAATTCCTATGGGGAAAGCAACAAAAAGGTACTAGGGACTATATAAAAAAAATGTCAAAACACCCGAAATTCCTATGGGAAGATCAACAAAGATATTAGGGAATATTAAACTCCCACCCCCTTTAAACCTTAAATTTTTATGGGGAAAGCAACAAAGGTACTAGGGACTATATTAAAAAAATGTCAAAACACCCGAAATTCCTATGGGAAAAACACAAACGGTATTAGGGAATATTAAACTCCCACCCCCGTTAAACTTTACATTCAATTGGGAAGATCAACAAAGATATTAGGGAATATTAAACTCCCACCCCTGTTAAACTTTACATTCAATTGGGAAGATCAACAAAGATATTAGGGAATATTAAACTCCCACCCATGTTAAACTTCTACATTCATTGAAGATCTTCAAAAAGGGTTTAATTCTCCCACCCCTTTTAAACTTCTACATTCATTGAAGATCTTCAATAAGGGTTTAATTCTCCCACCCCTTTTAAACTTCTACATTCATTGAAGATCTTCAATAAGGGTTTAATTCTCCCACCCCTTTTAAACTTCTACATTCATTGAAGATCTCCAATAAGGGTTTAATTCTCCCACCCCCGTGAAACTTCTACATTCAATGAAGATCTCCAATAAGGGTTTAATTCTCCCACCCCCGTCAGACTTCTACATTCAATGAAGATCTTCGATAAGGGTTTAATTCTCCCACCCCCATTAAATTTCTACATTCATTGAAGATCTCCAATAAGGGTTTAATTCTCCCACCCCCGTTAAACTTCTACATTCATTGAAGATCTTCAATAAGGGTTTAATTCTCCCACCCTCGTTAAACTTCTACATTCATTGAAGATCTTCAATAAGGGTTTGATTCTCCCACCCCTTTTAAACTTCTACATTCATTGAACATCTCCCATAAGGGTTTAATTCTCCCACCCCCGTTAAACTTCTACATTCATTGAAGATCTTCAATAAGGGTTTAATTCTCCCACCCTCGTTAAAATTCTACATTCATTGAAGATCTTCGATGAGGGTTTAATTCTCCCACCCCCGTGAAACTTCTACATTCATTGAAGATCTCCAATAAGGGTTTAATTCTCCCACCCCCGTTAAACTTCTACATTCATTGAAGATCGTCAATAAGGGTTTGATGATGTTGATGATGATGATGATGATGGTGATGATGATGATGATGATGATGATGCGTCGCCCGTCGTCATTGCGGGTCCGGGCAAAACCCAGGCATTTGCCGTATATATATATATGTATATATATATGTATATGTATATATATTATCATATATATATATATAATATATATATATATATATGTACATACATACGGCTAGATATTTGGGGATTATATATGGAACCGTTGCCAACAATTTGTGAGAATGACAGAAGGGGACCCAGAGCCAGGTCTTGGCCCTTTGGCTGTCGGACGCATCTCAGTCCAGCACTCAAGACTCAGTTGAGCAGTGTCAAAAAAACAGTTGCTTGATTATTGTATTGTATAGCTTGTACAACAACTATAGAACCCATATGATTATTTGTTGGATATGGGAAATTCATATGATTGTATGGGATTTTAAAATGTTTTAAACGTCAAAGATATGAGGATAAATTTGATAAACGATGGTTGGTTGATGATTATATGGGTTATACTACCCAATGTTTGGGAGATGATCGGAATTTATGATGGGACTCTTCAAAAAAACCGACCATGATCTTGGGGATTTTCCAATACTTTCTTGACCTTTTAGTTCCATATCAGTTAATACATCCCATTATATCCCGATATAGCTGTTGCTTGTATACTTCCATTGTTGTTGGCCAAATGGGGCTTCCAATTGTTGGTGATACATATGTCCCACTACATTTCAGTATACATCTCCGTATCGTATCCTAATTATATTTTATTCTACCTCCAGGGTGGTAAGCTGGGTAAATTGAGTTCCATCCTCCATTATGAATTCGTATATACACATACATAACATTCTATATCCTCATTGTATCCTGGTATAGAAGCCATTGTATCCCCACTACACCTATATAGACTAGATATATTATACATACATATAATAGGTATACATGGATACGTCCATTGTAGCCCCATGCTGCTATCCCCATCATAGCCCATTACTGTTGGCTAAGTATAACAAGCATATCCCCATGATTGTACATGCAATTGTATACCCACCATACCATCGATTTTGTTTGCTGAAGTCAGTGCGTAAGTATATATGTACATATACATATGTAATATGTATATAATATATACCCTCTGGTAAATTAACATAGCTATGGAAAATGGCCCATTTATAGTTGATTTACCTAGTAAAACAAATGATTTTCCAGTTCGCTATGTTGAATTACCAGAGGTATATATATATATACTGGTGGTTTGGAACATTTTTTATTTTTCCATATATTGGGAATAATCATCCCAACTGACTAATATTTTTCAAGATGGTTAAAACCACCAACCAGTATATATATATATATTCTACATTATCCCATTGCACCAGCCGCAGCAAACTCTACCAGCCATCAAAAATCACCAAGGCGCCGGTGGTGCGCCCGACCCAGTCCGGTTGAAGTTTGTGGATGGGACGGAAAAATGGGAACTTTTTTTGATATGGGAACTTGATAATATAGTGATATTAGTGATCTTAGGATAATATCACTAATATAACTATAGTGATAACTATAGTTTTTTTGTGAGTTGCAACTATAGTTATTTACCGACTATAGTCACAACTAATATTTCGTTACAACCAAGACCCACTAATATTTCCAGTTATTTACCCACTAAGATGCTTGTCTGGGTAAATTCTACCCATGTCACTGTTCTCCCTCGAGCGGATGAAAGGTTAGGATTCGGGGAATCATCCCGAGAGCCGAGCTTTTCAGATTGGTGAATTATTATAAGTTACCCCCTGGTAAACTAACATAGCTATGGAAAATCACCATTTTTAATGGGAAAAGCCACTATAAATGGCCATTTTCAATAGCTATGTTAAATTACCGGAGGGTACCCAGATTAGTGATATTGAAGGAACTAAGTGAACTAAAGAACTGGAACTCTTTGTTTCAAGTTCTGGAACTAATTATTGTTGGGAACATATTAGCGATCACTTGGATTTGCTGATGATGAACCTTTATTTTCCCAATTGAAATCCACTACTTGGGGAATCTATAGGGAACACTTTTTATTCTTTTTGGGTTCCTTAGACAAATCCAAGATTAGTTGGTTATTTGTCCAATATATTGGGAACTCTGCTGTTTTGAACACTGCTTAATTCGTGTATAAACTGTGACATAAATAATAAATAAATAAATAAATAAATAAATAAAAAAACAAATCAATAAATAAAAAAAATCAATAAATAAATAAAAACATAAATAAATAAAAACCATAAATAAATGAATAATAAATAAATAAATATACATAAATAAATAAATATATATATATATATTTATATTACACGTACATTTAGAGAGAGACAGAGGGAGAAACAATTTAAACTTAGATACATAGTTGATTGGGGGTGTTCCATTTGCCAGACTACCAGGGGGTAGTTACGGGTAGTTTGGAAGTTCTGCCCTGTTCGTTCCCATTTTAATTTATTCACATCCTTTTTGCCGGTTTCTCCCTATTTACAGATGCTTCATTTGGTAGCCAAACATCCCAGATATTACTCATGTTATCTCCTGTTCGTTGGTCTATCTCCACTTTTCCGAGGAAATCGTCGCCTTTTTTGCAGGGGTCGTTATTCGGCCAGGCTGATGCAAGTCCCTTCAAGCAGGTCACATCTTCTGCCGGATCCTCAGGGACCTGCGGATAGTTGCTGGTTAGTGGGCAGTAATCATCAAATATTGGAATTTCAACAACAAAAATGTGTAAGGTATGGGGATCTAAGCAAGAAGAATGGTGATTTAAACAACACAAATGGGGATCTACTATACGTAAGATGGTGATTTAAGCAACGAAGAGTTGGATTTTAACATGAATCAACCATGAAACAATTGGAATTATCCAACAAATGCGGAGGATTTGCCACCGGTGCTTGCAAGAACCTTGCTTCAGGCATGGCACGCATCCTATCCAATGGTGGGACGCCTCGGGTGTCGGGTTAGTCCTACAACGGTTATGCAATGGTGATTTAAGCATCAAATATGGATTTAACGAAAAAACATGGAGGTAGAATGGGGATTTGCTGAAACATATTTTCATTTTCCGATGGGTTCCTACCAAAAATGGGAGAATCGAAGGGGATTATGATTATGTTTTACTTTATCTCTTATGGTGGCCCCCGATAAATTCAAGCGGATTTTGACAATTTGTTTGGTTTCGCATCATGAAACAGAGTTCAGGCACCCAGTTTTGATCGCAATATTAGGAGTTTGCAAACGGCCTTCTCCTCCCAAACCTTGGTGTCAACTAATTCTCAGCAGTTTCGACTGAGACAGCACATGGAATAGGAAGATCAAGACGCTTCCGTAACGCAAGCGGTTGAAAGTAAGGATGGTAAAGGGGGACGCACTTTGCGCAACAATGCTGGCAATAGGTCTGTGCCACCAAATCCACGCATAGTCACAATTCCTGATGATTATTGGAATTTACATTTGGTTGTCATCAATGTTTCAACCAATTGCTTCCACACACAAACTCTGAACAAGGCCTTCATCCTATTCAACATCTATGCCAATATATATCAATTTCCAAGAAATTGATAAAATATATCTGAATTATAACAAATAAACATATATATCTATTCATATGATAAATATTTTTCAAATTTATTTAAATAAAAAAATAAAAAATCCTTGGATATCGATTTGCAAAACCTACGATACAAAAACGACGCATTTTTTCTATTTTTGACGACGATTTGTATTTTATAATTTTCTTGACCATAATAAAATATTAAATTTATTTTAAATTTAATTAATATATAAGAATCCTATTATAATTATATAAAAATGATTTATAATGATATATATATATATTATTATTATTTTTTAAATCCTAATAACAAATTAAATTATTTGTTTATATTTATTTATTATTTAATTATTATTAAATAAATATATATATATATATTAAAAAAATATTTTAATAATTTAATTAAAGAATGCTTATATATTTAAAAAATACTATTTTATAAATACTAATGCTAGCGTTAAGTCGTATTAGCTCGTTTGGAAAAAACACTAATTTTGGTATCACCACAATTTTTAGTATTTGAACGATTTCTTCGTTTTGGGGTCGTGCGTTTGGAAACAATTTATTTTTATTTTTATTGCGTTGATTTTTGAAAAATATATTTGATTATTCATTCAAGGGGGCAAACACTGGTTGCTGCTTGCCTGCTAACCCACTTGCATTGCAAGAAATTTGAGGGTGTACTAATAGGGGTGGTCACGCGACGCAGGACATTAATACCAGTAGTACCGCACAAGGTGGTGGCGGAAGTTTCAAAAATAGGAAACCTATAGGAGAGATTGGTTGTTGTGAATTAGGGATGGCAGAGCGAATCCACTGATGGACCGAAAGGTGCTTGAGGTCTCCTCTCTTTCTCTCTCTTTCTCTGACTATCTACCCACCTACCAACCTATATTCTATGTATCTATCTATCTATCTATCGATCGATCTATCTATCTATCTCTCTATCCATCTATCTATCTTTCTAATCTACCTATCTATCTATCTATCTTTCTTTCTTTCTAATCCATCTATCCATCTATCTATCTTTCTATCTATCTATCTATCTATCCATCCATCTATCTATCTATTTATCTATTTATCTATCTATCTATATGTCTATCTGTCTATCTATCTATTTATCTATATTTCTTTCTTTCTATCTATCGATCTATCTATCTATCTATCTGTCTGTCTGTCTATCTGTCGAGCTGTCTATCTGTGGTGCAGTGTCATTCAGTGTAATGTAGTGTAGTGTAATGTAGTGTAGTGTAGTGGAGTGTAGTGGAATGTAGTGTAGTGTACTGTAGTGTGGTGTAGTGTAATTTAGTGTAGTGGAGAGTAGTGGAGTGTAGTGTAGTGTAATGTAGTGAAGTGTAGCGGAAGGTAGTGTAGTGTAGTGTAATGTAGTGTAGTGTAGTGGAGTGTAGTGTAGTGTAATGTAGTGTAGTGTAGTGTAATTTAGTGT